GGCTGCGGCGTCGAGCTCGGCGACGAGGCGGGCGTGGACGCGCGGTGTCTTGAGGACGTGGTAGGCGACGGAGCGCATGGCGCCCGAGGTGGAGTCGCCGCCGGCGAGGACGTTTAGCATGAGCCAGTTGGTGACCTGGGCGTCGTCGACGAAGTCGTACTGCCCCTTGAGGCCGTTGTACATATCAATGAAAAGGTCGACGGGCTTGCGGCGCGCTTCCCCCTCCTGCCGGTACTCGGCGAGCATGCGGACAGTATACAGGAAGCCGTTGACGAGGGGCCGGGGCCCGATGCGCCAGATGGGGTTCTTGTCGAGGAGCTCGTCGAGGAGCGGCAGCTGGCTGACGGGGGCGAAGTACTTGAGGCCGGCGGTGCTCTCGGCGATGATGCTGCCGACGTCCCGGCCCTCGTCCATGAAGCCGTAGTGGCGGCCGAAGCTGACGTTGGCGGCCGCGTCCCAGGCGTAGTAGGAGATCCAGTCCTCGAGCATGCAGACGTCGCCCGTGGAGGCGAAGCGCCTGTCGACGTTGGCGAGGAGCTCCGAGAGGGTCTCGTCCATGACAGGCTCGAGGTCGAGGATCTTGCTCATGGTCCAGAAGCCGCCGATGGGCCTGGTGTACTTGGAGTGGAAGTGAGCGTCCTGGGTGTTGAAGATGTTCTGGATGCGCTGGCCGTTGACGACGACGTCGTTGGGGCGGTACATGTCGCTCTGCTTCGGTTTAGAGACTCTACTTCTTTCGAGGCATCATCTTCTAGGGGAGTGCGTGTTCTCTTGTGGATATCACAGAAGGTTACACCGTTGATGGCTTCACATTTGACCCCCAACATCGAAGTGGGACAGCCATTGGGGAATTTGCGCATGAGGTATGGCATTGGGCAAGGGATATTGATGAAAAACAGGCTCTACAGATACTACATACCTTGCGCCATGGGTTTTTGGTGGTGTAGATGACTTTGATCATGTCTGGATCACTGATGCTGATCGCATTGGGGCCGACACGCACTGCGGGACCCCATCTCTGGTGCCATCTGCGCTTGTGCCTGTCGACATGGCCCATGTGAGTGAGGCCGGAGCGATACAGGTCGGTAAACTTGGCAAGAAATGGCCCGGGAATGTGGCTCAGAGGAGAAAAGAAGAGCTCATAGACAACCTTGACTGCGCCCACGGCTACAATGCCATAGAGCACATAGACTAGGGGGATGGCTGAGAGGGCCATTGTCGGTGCAATTTCACAGACGAGCGGATACGAGAATGCTGCATGCGTCTCTCCGACCAGTTTGCGACGATCTTTGGAAGAAGTAAGGACACTAGGAAAAAGGAAAGAGAGGGGAGAGTTACATGCAGCGGGAGTTTTGCGACTTTTACGAAACCAGAGATAAGATGCTGGGGAAGAGAGATCTATACCCAGATGTGGGATACGTACACCCGAAGAGCATCTTCTGAGTCCAGAAGCGGAACTTGCCTGCATTATTCCTGGTCATATCAATGAGAAAGAGGGGAATACGACACTATTTCGAGATTAGAAGGCGATTGAGGTTCCAACAGCATCAACCGGCCCCGCCATGATGCATTGTAGTTGGTCGTCGGCCCGGATCTAGGAAGGTGGGCGCTCCATCCTTCAGGCATAGTTTCATCAAGCTCAGCCATGAAATGGAGGGGGAAAGGCCAGAGGATACACATATCAGCAGGGGAGAGGTCAAGGTTTCATCGATCGTTTCCAGAGTAGCCTTTGATAACATGCAGGAGGTTGTATTGTAGGTTAGTACCAGGGAATAGTTCCTGTTTGAGGTGGTATATCACCCGGATAAACTAAGAACTAGCAAGGGAAAAGGTAAGTGAGTGGCACAAGGGTTCTCCAGGAGGCAGGGGTGAGAGAGAGAGAACAGTGTGCAATGAACAGAGAGGATGAGAACCCTGCTTGGATCGCGTAATTAAGGCGTTGGTATTGGTGGGTTGGAAGTTCTGTTCTGATTCCAAGGCTGTGGCGGCTGAGGAGGTATAACAAGGAGCCGGGACCAACGAGTAATGAGCGGTTTTCTTCCGGGCGCCCGTGCCCGGGTAAGTACTTGGCCTCCCCGAGCGGCCGTGGCTTGCTGAGACGCTTTAATTGTGTCTAGCTTCGGCAGAGGTCGACTGGCGGCGGCGATCCGGGGCAGACGTTTCGACTCCGCTGTGCTCTCAGCCACGTCCGGCTGCCAAGGTTATGCCTATCAATATCTCTAGGTGCTTATTGGTAAATATGGTCTTGTTGAGGAACGGTAGTGTGTACTTCTGGAGCAAGTCGTGGTGCTATGACGAAGTAGAGCGGAGGGTAATATAACGGCTAGCCGCACCAAAGCGCTTCGGGTAGGTCTCAAGATCGGCCTGGCCCCTAACCGAGCTCGGTCCAGCACATTCAGCTCAGCTCGTACCACCAACTGCAGGCTGAGTGGGTGGCCATCTTATTGATGAATGATTGAATGATGAACATTGTTCACAAGCGCTAAATCTATTGTATGGACGGATCAGTACTAGCACTTGGACTCGGCTACAGTGGCGGTTGGGGGGGGTTTAGTCAATCGGCTAGGCGACGGCTTTAGGGGCGCGTTAGCCTTTTTACAGGGGCCTGGCTCCCGCCTCCCCGCCTGTAGCCGCGGCGGGCCCCTGTAGCACTCCCCTGTAGCAGCCCTCATCCAATCCCACCCTCTTCCGACGTCTGTCCTCATTCGAGTGAGAAAAGCGATGTGTCGATTCTTCATGCACCAAAAATTGTTGAAGAGAACCGCGCCTCGAACTCTAGTGCTGCATTGCCTTAGCGCTCTTCTCTCCTTAGCTCGTATGCGAGGCGGCTTGGACAGCAGTCAATGGGCGCCTCTTAGCTCTGTTTTCGTTCGCCGCGACCAACGGATCAACATGCCTCGCCAGCCACATGCTCGTGCCAGTTTGTATCCCTCTCTACAGCGATCCATCGTGACTCGAGCATGATTGCGGGCGCGCCTTGCATTCTCATGCGCGCAATACTACTCCCTCGCCTCCACGAGATGAACAGTATGGGGGAAAGATATGCTGTGCGATGCGACGCAAGTGATTTATCTGCATCATGCCGCCCGGACTCGGCACCTCATCTATGGTCGGCATGGAGAAAACTCGTGCAAGCGAGCTTTGTGATGAAACGACAGGAAAAAGCAAAAAGAGGCCCATTGACACTTTAACCAACCCACTCACATCATGCAAGAAGCCCCCCATGCGGAGGTTTTAGCCTCTTCTGGGTGCCTTCTTTTCTCCTAATGGTTTCTTTCTTTGTTCGAGGCAAACTACCACCCACCATGATTACTCAAGAAGCTACTGGGGCGATTGTTTTTCCAAATACGTAGATGGTTGCGATATCCCCTTGGCTGGGCGAGGCGAGATCACCATGCAAGTAAACACTAAAACTAAACTCCAGACGTTTGATTCGAGGCCAGGGGAAGAAGGTCGAACCAACGGAAAACAAGAACTTCAGCTGGGCCTTCACAGTTTGATCTACATCCATTGCACCCGAGTTGCTGTAACCCCGGTCCTTGCTGGCATAAACGTGAAGCGCGATCCGCAGCCCTCCCTGCCGTAGTCTGTGCCAGCGAAGAGCTCTCTCTTCTCTCCCTGCGCGTATAACGGTTGCATGGCTGGAGATGCTGCCGGTTCACTCGCTTATCGCCGTGGTGGAATTTGCCCTTCTTTGCTTTTTCTCTCTTTCTTTTCTTTTTGGAAGATTGGGGGTTGTTACATCTCGAGGGCTCCGGCACCATCACTCGTTCAATGTGATCCTCTCGGTACTGGGGTGACAAGCATACTTTCTATCTCTGGATAGCTTTACGCTGAGTAGTCAGTTTTTGTTTCTTTTTACCTCCAGTGTGAACTGTCATTTGGAACTAGAGGCTGCTGTCGCCTGCAGTTTGCCCCCGGAGTTTCATCCTAATGGGAAGCGAAAAATCGACAATCGGTTGGGGACTTGAATGGCTCTGAAGTACCTATTGACAAGGGCGACCAACAACAGAGGAACTATAACTAGTCGAGCTCCAAGAAAGAAAGGGACGTCGGGGCCGGACGAGTTCATCACGCCGTTGACAACAATAACTATACCTCCGTTTGCAGCAACGACGACGACGACTACCACTCAACATGTCAGATTCAGGAGAGACGTCGGTTCCGTCTCCGGAGTTTCTCTCCCAGAGCCGTGGACCGTCTATCAGAGGTGTCATATGGGTTTCTGTGATTTGCTCCATCATAATCGTCATTATGAGAGTGCACACTCGCATATTTCTACGCAGAGTGTTTGGGATTGATGACTGGTTTATCGTGTTTGCCATGGTAAGCAAAGGCCTCGTCTCTGAGAAACCCTCCTTGGTGTTAGAGGGCATCCGCAGCAGCCACGGCGGTATCAAACAGCTTCGCTGACCGGTACTCTAACTTTGCAGGTGCTCATCGTCGCATACGGCGCGGTCGTCGAGCTTGCTGTTCAAAAGGGCCTCGGACGGCATCTACAGTGGATGCTCATGGAGACCCCTGAAGATCTCGTCTCTGTAGCTTTCCTTGGTCAGATCTCTCAGCCGTTCGTCGTCATGTCCTGCGCCACGGGCAAGGTCTCCTTTTCCCTGACTCTCATGCGTCTGGCCGCCCAGCGTTGGATTCACACTCTGCTGTGGTTCCTGGTCATCTCCATGACGACTCTACACATTCTCATCTCCATCATTGTCTTTGTGCGCTGTAAGGACCCCAGATCTACCTGGGACACAACTATCGTTAGCGAGTGCTGGCATCCCGAGACCTACCTGAACGTCATGTACTTCATTGGTGGTGAGTAACAGGTCTCCTTTCGCCCGACAGCAAACTCGAATGTTAACATAACCAAGCGTACTCCGCCGCGACCGACTTCATCCTCGCCCTCCTCCCCTGGGCCATGCTCTGGAACCTCAATATGAAGAAGAAGGAAAAGTTCGGCGTAGCCATCGCAATGAGTCTCGGTGTCTTGTAAGCCAACCCCATCTAAAGCCCCTTCAAGCCTTGCACAGGCTAACTCCTCCTCTCCAGCGCGGGTACCACGGCCATCATCAAGTGCACAAAGCTCCGCGCCAACGCGACGAGTAAGGACCCGACCTTCGACGTCGGCGAGCTCCTCTGGTGGGCCGGCGCCGAGAACGGCCTCATCATCACCGCCGCCTGCCTCCCGACCCTCCGGCCCCTCATGCGCGCCATGTTCCCGTCCACCGTCCGCTCGAGCGGGAACAACAACAACAACTCGTACCCGCTCAAGAACGTGTCCAACAACGCCAACATGTTCACGCCCAAGAAGCAGGGCCAGTGGACCGCCATCATCGAGTCCGAGGCGGGGCAGCCCGACACCGGGTTCGACAACCAGAGCGATAAGAGCATACTGGACAAGCACCAGAGCGGCGGCGGCGGGAGCCACGTCAGAGGGGGCGGGAGTAGCCATTTGAGTACGAGCAGCAGCCAGATCAATAATGCCCTGGTCGGTTCTAGAGAGGGCGGCGGGAGCGATGGACGGCCGCCGACGCAGATACACAGGACCTTTGAGGTGAATGTCTCGTATCAGCAGAACGGTCAGAATGTATAAGGTTGGTACTGATTCTTCTTCAAATAATGGCGATGGGACCAATTCTTCTGGTCTCCGATGGTTTGGTTTTGACGGAGATTGAATATTAGCAATTTGTTTCTCCTGCAGTAACGAGGAATATGACCATGTACACGATGCAAATAGGGCCTCCATCACTGGATCGGCTGGCACTGAAATTAAAGAAACATAACCCTATCAACTTCAAAATGGCATTTCCATTCTGTTCCTTGAATACTTGATGATTCATGGTGTGTATTTTGCAGACGGACCATCTCGCTCTCCGCTGGCTGCCGTTTCCTAATTTCCTCCCAGAAGAGCGATGCATATGAGATATCTCTTCAAGCAAAGGAGATCCAGTTGCGGCAAAAAAGCAGACGACTCGTAAATTAATGGCCTAGCCTGCTATTAAAACGCGATCCGGTCTGTTTTCGACCACACTCGGCTATAGTCTCATGACAGAATGGCATCCTTGCCCGTCTTCGCACTCTCAATCACACCCTCAATAATACGCAGAACATCCCTAGCCTCGGTCGCCTTGACTGGGACCTCGTTCGCATCTCCACTGGCTACAGCCTTTGCAAACGCGGCATACAGGGCTTTGTACGTCTCAGGTTCCAGCGCGGGAACGGGCACCTCGCTGATCTTGCCATCGTCGCCCACGGCAGTAAGCCTGAAACTCTCGAGGTCTTGCGCCCCGAACCCGGCATCTGTCGCCTTGCCACCGGCTCGGAGGTGGTCCTCCTGAGGGTCGAGCCCCGTCGTGCGGAAACTGCCCTTGGTGCCTCTGACCCAGAACCGGGGCTGCGCCACCTCGGCGCTCAGCGCGCTGATGCGCAGGTTCACGATCAGGCCGTCGGCATATGTTAGCTCGATGGTCACGGCATCGGGGTTGAAGAAGTCCGGGGTGCCGTTGCGCTGGTTCAGCAGGCGGCCGTGGACCGCCTGGGGCAGACCGAAGAGCACGTAGGCCTGGTCGATCAGATGGGTGCCCAGGTCGAAGAGGGCGCTGCCGGCCTGCGGGATCCCGATCTGGGCCTTCCAGTTGGTCGGGGCGTCGGCCCTGTAGCGGTCAAAGTGGGAGTTGAACTCGACGACCCTCCCGAGCTGACCCTGGCTGATGAGGTGCTTGGCGGTGAGGAAGTCGAGGTCCCATCGCCGGTTCTGGTAGACGCAGATGAGGCGGCCTTTGTACTTGGCGATGGAGATGAGATCCTCGGCCTGGGCTGATGTCGGGACGAAGGGCTTCTCGACGAGTACGTGCTTGCCGGCTTCGAGCGCGGCCTTGGTCAGGTCGAAGTGGCTGTCAGGGGTTGTGCTGAGAACGACAATGTCCACTTCCGGGTCTGCGATGAGGGCATTTGCATCGTTGTAGTGCCTCAGGTCCGGGTAGTCCGCCGGGGCCGAGTTGCCTTCTTTCGGCGAGCGCTGGACGATGCTGTGGAGGCGGAACTGGGGAGTGAGCTGTATGAAAGGGATGTGGAAGACCTTGGCCGAGAGGCTATCATAATCGTTAGCGGAATCATTACATTCAATGAAGCTTTCAAGAGACAAACCCATATCCAATCACTCCGACATTGAATACCTGCTTGGCCATGGTTGTTGCGGTTTGCGTGCTTTGCTTGGTGCTGCTAGCTCTTATTCCACGACTTCAATGTAGGTATGCTCTTTATTTATGCGTATCTCGGTATTCTTTTGAAAATTTCTCGATGGGTTTTCTCTCATCAAAGAATCGAGGGGAAGACCTCATAGTGGAGCCACCAGACATTACCGTATGAGCCATCACCGGTTTGATTTTTAATCAAGTCACCACCAGTTCGGCGATGCCTCGGTCGCACTCGACATTAGCTCCTGGTCGCTCGCTTTCATGCCATCGCGATTGGAAATAGTCACAATCCCTAGATCTCACGAACTTTGAGCTATTTTTACCTGCAAAATGGTGATCAACGGTAAGCTAGTCGAATGGCCCAATCATATGCGCAAAGATAATACATCAAATCCAAGCTCCCTTTCTGTAGTTCCAAAGGGAGATTTTGTCCATAGATTTCGAGATGACATGGCTGAGCCTCATCCAACTTCCCTCGGAAGATGTACATGTCTGAGAATTGCGCGTTTCCTCTCATGGACCATGCAGCTTATGCCACAAATGATTGGTTGCCTTACTACCCCTCCTCAAGCATGGAGGCTTCGCTGAGGCGAAGCGCACTTCCTGCATTGGTTCGCCGTTAAGTCTTCTTTGTTTCAACTTCATTCTTCGGCCTTGCCCATGTCGGAGGCACGGCAATACGCCACAGACGCCGCTCGTGAGACGACCGAGTTCGGATCGAAGCGGTTCCATGATAAAATCGATCAACCAAACCACGAGACACATCAAAATGAGTCCCATCATGATGCGGGTCCTTCGGGGTCCAGCTCTCAGTTCGTCTTACCTCCCCGGGAGGCCAAAGTGACAGATGTCGAAGTCAAATCAAACGATCACAAGAAGAGCAGGGGGTTGTTCAAACTCAAACAGCAAGTCTCAGGACTTCACTCCAAGCCGGAGCCTACTCCTCCTATCTTGATGTCTAAGGAGATCAACCCCAGCAATGCCAACGGCAACAGTCGCGGCCGCAATGAGCCCTATGTTGATACACCACCAGAATCAGACACCGAGGGTAGCGACATTTCCTCAATCAGTGAAGATAGCGTTAACCCTGAGATTCATGAGAGCAAGGCCGAGACATCGGTGGTTTCCGTTGAATTCACCATCGAGGAACTCGACCCGCTAGATGACTCTTGGGACACCCTGGAAGTCATTCATCCCTATAACATCGAGTATCCTAGACGCCGGACCAGCTCCTTTCACAAGGATTTGGATAAGGCGCTCGTGGCCGACCTACAAAATCTCGCTTGTTCGGACTCAGGCCCAGACTTAGATGAAGAGGAAGACGCCTTTTTGAGAAAACAGAGAATCCTCCGCCGTCGCAGACTGACTAGCAACCAATCTTTCGGCAAACGAACCCATGAAGAACATGTTAACTGGGACGACGATGACGAGTTGAGTGGCGGCGATGAACATCGGGGCAATCGTAAAATGCAGAAGAGGGTCCACAGGAGCTCGTTACTGTTCAAAAATCCGCCAGCGCCGTTCATAGAGCCCTTTGAGTCGGATTCCGATGTCGAAGACGGTGAGGCAGAAGACCAGCTCCTGCGAGCTATGGAGCTTCCATTTTTTAACTTGGAGGTCATGAGCCTGGATTCCGACTCTTCAACTACATATTCTGATCACCACAAACACTCTGAATCTCATCCAATACGACAACAAAGCGACAATGAGCAAGTATCGGAGGTAAAGAATAACGAGGAGGCGGGAGCAGATTCAAACGAAGCAAGGTCAGCTTGGACTGACAAAGCACCCGACAACTCCAGTGCCACGGCTTCAGCTGATTTTCATAGTCATCACTCTCGCTCTTTTACTAGGTCGAATCTAACGCCAATGTGTGGATCTAATTCCATCGATAATACAGATCTGGAAAGTCTCTTCTCCTCATTCAGTGCATCATCGATGGAGTCCCTCACAACCCTTGATCAGAGACAGCGCAGCGGTGTAACTCTCCTTACTGAACTGCTCTTCAACCACAGAGAGTTGAGTCCGCTGTACAGACTGGCCATTTCCCGGGTTGAAATCGGAAAGCTGAGAACACATCTCTATGGTTTCTTTCGGATATACGGCAAGGAGCTGCACCGAGAAGCAAGTGACGAGAAAGAGAAGCTAGCTGCACAGTTCATCCGCAGATGCGCCAGGCTTCTCGCAAACGCTATCTGCCAGAGCCTTCAGTCCGAGAGCGGCGAAGAAGACTGGTCATCTCTGCTGTCTGTTGAACGTGTTTCCATGGAGCAGAACGTCAATGAGTGGATCAACGCGTCATTGACAAACGTGGAAGGTCTGATGCCGCAGGCTCCCGAATGTGAGGATAAAAGAGTAGTTGAATCTTCGAGGGCTGAAATGGCCTCTTCTGAATCAAGTAACGAGGACTACGAGGTCGTCTATCAAGAGGCAGAAGACTATCTGTTACTTAGTGAAGTAGAACATTTCATCTTGTCCGCGGATGCCTTTTCAAATCTCAGACTTGCACTTAGGTCCTGGTTGAATCTGGATGACGGCGACCCAGCAGACCCGAATCCCAAAGCGAACGAAGACATGGCGCCTCTAGAGGCTGATCCCAGCACTCCTTCTTCGAAACAAACTAGCCAAATGTTTCTAGCTCTTCAATCTAAAATTTGGAGAGCGGGGATGACAATCTTTCGCAATATACAAAATGTCTTTGTTCTTACTGGGTTTCGAGAGCCTGAACTAGTCGGCGGATACCAACGTGTGCGCTGGAAGAATGTAAGTTCTGCATATATACCCAGTTTTAAAAAGAATCTTCGTGCCTGTGATCACTTACAAGAAAAAGAACAAAGGGAAGTCGATCTTTGAAGACTATGTGGAAAATGAACCAGGAGCATTGCGGGCGCTTGAGGCGTATCTCAACACCAGTGCCTATCAGAAGAATAACACTGGGTCTATATCAGCCAGTTCTTCTTCAAACGAACAGAGAACTCACAATACTAAGAGCTCGGCTTCAGGCTCCAATAGTTCTAATACACTCCCAACAAATGTCTCTTGTCACAGCGGTCAAGGCATAGGCCCCGATGAGACTACAGCAGCATTCGAAAGGGACATCGAACTGACGGCCTCTCCTTCTGAATCGCTCCACCTGTTTACTTGCATTGAACGAGGATTTCACAAGTTAGATTTTCATCAGAAGATTATCACGAATATTCCAAATGATCAAACACTGTTTGGTTCCTTACGAGAGGAGTATTATTGCGGATATCGGGGAAGTTGGAGACGGATTGTTTCACTCCGGGCCATTCAAAGCGTTCACTTCATGAAGGTATCCGGACAAAAAAAATCTAACCTCGACATCTATCTCTGTAATAGCTAATAATTTCTTGCCTAGTTTCTATATGGCGGTCCTGGTTATATTGATCCACGATGCCATGAAGAAGTGTGTGAAAAGGGCAAGCCATGTGACTGCATCCCACCGTCCCGGCTCGTCTGCCCGACTGGAACAGAATATAAATGCAGCCCGGTCCCCGCGAGACTGTCACCCCCTGTTGGGTCACGGCTCATGATGGACTTCTTTACTGACCCAGCCGGCATTTCCAAGAATTCTACATTTGTCTTGCAGCAGCTTCCTAAGAGGACGTATGGCGAGCTACGGAAGGAACAAGGGGAGTTGGTTGAAGCTTGGGGGATTTACTTCAAGGAGGGCTGGAATTGGTCTAGGATATGGTGGGTTCTTGGATTAGCTGTCTTCCCGCCAAGCTTACTGTTTGGTCTTCTATGGAGTGTTCTGAGACAGGATATTCAAGGTGCGTTTGGAGTTGCCAGCTGGTGGCTGACTTCGGCCACAATTCTCATCGGGATTTTGGGTACACAAGTATGATGATATTATTATCTTATCCTCGTCTGAAGGTGCCTGTAGAGCGACATGATGTCGGTGCTATAGATTGTTCATTGACTTTCGTGAAAAGCCGATAATCAGAACACATCATGATGGGCTTAATAGTAAAATCTATCGAAGATATTGAATTCGTGATGATACTTTTAATTTGGACTTATAGGTATAAGTGGCAGTTTCACAAGGTTGAAGGCCACAGACTTGCACTAGAGGCTTCACATGATGTCGACAAATCAGCATGTAATGATCTCCTCTAACTCATAACTGTTTCCGCTAACGGGGTTCAACATGTATCCTAATTTATTTTTAGGGAAAGAAAATTAAATAAGGGCAACCAGCTCATGTCCTCGTTCATTATTGCTCTCTGTCACTGCTACTCTCATACTCCAAACATGAGAGTCGTCAATATTCTCCTCCAGATGGAAAGATTTTTCCGTAGTCTTAGATATCAGCGTGAGTGCCACCGTCTCTCCCAAAGTGCCACAAGCCCGGCCGTGCGGAGGGCTTTTGTGAATAAGCAAAGCGGTATGCACTATAGCAATGATCACATGCACGAATAACAAGGTAAATGCGAGCGGGATAGAGACACTTCCTTGAAACCTGTATCCATAGCGGTGTTGATAGTATATCACATCTACTATCCGCAAGTTAGAAGAAGGAGGAAGTCCCTCAATCCCTGGCCAATTCGGTGCTGGGGAATCCGGTGTGGGGTTTGGGGCTGAATAACTCGAGAGTTGATCCCCAGAAGTCAAGAAATCAACCAAAAAGACAGATAAAAATGCGGGAACCCAGGTCGAACGGTGGTATAAAGCAAGGCTCATCCTTTGTATCAATATCGAGGCTAGCCATGTATCATTTCGGTCGTCTGCTATATGATATGCGGTTTCTAGCCATTCGGGGCCCATTTTGATGACGTTTTTGTAATTTGAGGTCTCGGACATAAAACCTGCCACATCTGAGAACGCAATCTCCAGCTGCACAAAGGTATGCGGTTCTTTCACGTCCATCCAAACCTCCGCTTCCACCCAACGGGCTTGTATGAGGCAGAGATTTGTCGCCCAAAAGTTATTCCCTAAATTTTTCGTATAGTGCCTTAAAATGACCGCAGCGGTGATTGGGACTGGAACCTTATCCTGAAGTTCAGGAAAAATTATTAAAGGTAGATCAGGCATGTTCCCAGCCGTTCGGAATGGCTCCAACTCTTTTCCACCTAAAGACAACTCGAGGGAGAATTTTTCCTTGTGGAATGAACTCCCCAAGAAACTAAATCTTATCACGTCCCCACCAATAGGGGTGTGCGATTTCTCTTCTTCTAGAGACTCATTGCAATGCACTGCGACAAGTGGTTGTCTAAATTTCTCGGCTGGTGTATTGTCGTTTCTTTTCGACTGTGATTTTAAGATACCGGGAAAGTTTCTATCTTTTTGTTGAATGTATCTTCTAGAATACCGTAACGGCTGGAACGAAAATCTCATAGGGGCGGTAGCGAAGGCGGTTCCATAAGATTGACCAGACGAGGACTTAGGATCCGTCGTTGTCAATGAGATTGGCCGATCCCCATGAGACTTTCCAGTTCTAGTGTAGGAAAGGTTGGACATTTGTGGAATATAATAAGGCTTGTTGTCAAATGTGTCCTCCAAATCCAGTGCTAAGTTCGTCAAATTGGTCGGGGTGTGTAGTTCAGGTAAAGCGTTTAGTGGAATTCGCTCTGGTAAGTTAGGGCGTAGGGTGGAGTTCTTTGGATCTCCTTCATATTTCATGATGTAGAAGTCGTCTGTAAAAAAATAAACGCCGTCATTTTGGTATCCTATCTCCGTGGTGTTATGAACTGCCCACCATGTCTGTCGAGGTATCAAAGCAATGGCAGAAAACGGGCCGGCGCCGATCCCAACCAAAGTAAGTAGCAGGAATAAAAAAATCGTAATGCTATGAGAGGATCTCCTGGCTGCTGGTTTCAAGACGGTATTCCAAAACTCGTGGCTGAACAGATAGCCGAATGGTGCAATAATATAATGGGGCGAAGCTAGAAATCCAATTTGCAAACCCTCGTCTCGAGCCAAGCAGTACCGAATTCGATGCAACATTGCTTCAGCAAGAGAGATGAATATCAATGCTTCGTGTGCTTTGGCTGCGAACTGGAGAACACCAAGCTCTTCACTGGTTGGATGTGATGGCTCCCATTGAACTTGCTTGATATACAGCCCCAACAGGGCGAGGGTCACTGCTATAGCCGGCATATGGAATAGCATGAATCCCCGTACAATGATCCAGGTCTGAATCTTGGGTATAGAGCCCGAAGATCTGGGATCGTTCTGATATCGCATGTCGCTTAATTCTGTTTGCTTAGGAGTAAGCAGGGAAACCTCTGCTGTTGAAAGCATCCCACTTCTTGGCTTTGGAGGGTCCATTTCGTTAAAATGATACTGGAATAGAAAAGTGTGAGGAGAGAAAGAGAAAGCTTTCATGTGGGGTTGCATGACCAGCTAGGTTTTAGAGGAGCTGTGTACCTGTTTTTATAGATGGGTTAGATCGACAGCATTGGAACTGGATGTAACATGCATATAACATGAAATTTTATAATATCTAGGCGCTCAAAAGGATTTTTGGTGGTTGCAATGGCCCCCATGCAGCAACCACACGTTAAGGGTAACATTCGTTAGGCATTCTTACATCAACTTCTTTTCTATATATAGCAAAAAGGCGAGAAAGGTCAATCAGCCAGATTACTAATTATTCTATTGCAGGAAAATTTAAATTCCTTATCCAAATTGGTTTTCTTTTGTACGAGGTGTTTTATCTCTATGCTGTGAAAAATTCATGGATTCGAAAGTTCATAGGATAGTAATAGGTCGAGGTATGATTTTGAGGTTGAGAACAATCAGGCCCTCAAAGAACCTTTCAAGAACGACCAAGGCGAAAAGATTAAGCTGAATATGCCCATCCACTGTGATTTTAAGATTTCGAAGAGAAAGAGACCAGAAGGGAACAACTTAATCATCAAGTGAGAGACCCCGACAGGTATCAACTTCAAAAGATAGAGTTAAGAAGGCCATTCCTATAGAACGAAATTCAAGCTGAATTATCACGATTATAGTGCCAACGCCCTCATAGTATATGGCAAGTGAATCATGACATAGCCCGTCAAAAATTAGCCCTCATTTTATATTTCCGAACTATTTTTTAGAACTCAGAAACAAGCTCAAGAAAAATACAAAAGGAGAAGAAGGTACAGAGTCATAGATTGGAAAGAGATATTATAGGTCTGTATAGGAGAATCATGATGTTCAGCACCATACTAATAACTCTTCTCGACGCGTGCGGCCATGCCTGTCGATATGCCAAGAGCCATCTTTTGGGCGCTAGACCTACTATTCCTTCATAGAAGGATACGCCACTGTGCTAATGAGAAGCTTGGATTACATAGCTATCACCACGACTTAATTATGTCACTAGATCGGCCTGTTCAAATAGAACGAGGCTGAGCCCCCTATCATCAGTGGACGTCGCGCAACATGTTTGGCAAATTGCTATCCGCTCAGTGGGTAGGCTAATAAGTAAGGCCTTGAGCCTCGTATCCGTTGCCGATGGTGTAGCAAGCTCGTTTCGCCTGGGCCAGTCCCACTATCCAAGCAGCCAATCATGGAATTTTCGCTCCGAAAATGATGTCTCTACGACCGCTAAACTTGAGATGCGCAGCGGAAGCGCCACAAAATGATGGCATGGTCTTCTCGAGGACGCGACGGCATATGGATGCAATTTCCCTGTATAAATGAGCTTAAATGTCAGTATCATTTTTGCCTGGACTTCTGTTTTCTGGTCATCGTCTCTCCCACTCCCTCACCACCCACTCACAATGTCTCAGGTTCTTTATAACAACACAGAGCCTCCGTTTGGGCCAATAGTCAACGGAACGCAAATTGTCTTTTTCGAATATCGGCCGAACATTGGTGCTGCATGGGCGTTTGTCGTGTTATTCACTATTGCTGCTTTAGTTCACTTCGGCATGTTAATATGGCTTCGGGCTTGGCATTTCATCCCTCTGACTCTCGGCCTCATCGGTGAGTCTCAGTATTTCAATCAATCTTTCGCATTCTACTAACGAATGAACTACCAGGAGAAGCCTTTGGATACTACGGCAGGGTTCGCGCACACAGCGAACCCAACATCGCGGGTCCTTTCATTATGCAAAACATTCTCATCCTTGGCTGCGCGCCCCTTGTTGCAGCCACGGTGTACATGACTCTCGCGAGATACATCCGAGTCTTTGACATTCGCGATCGTATACACATCCCACCGCGCCTAATGACATTCTTCTTCGTCTTAGTCGACGTAGGATGCTTTGTCACTCAAGTCTTCGGCTCGGCAGCTCCTGCATCGGGCGATCCCCAGGGAATCGCCTTGGGTCGAACGCTCATCATATCTGGACTGATTGCGCAGCTTGTAGCGCTCGCGCTGTTTATTCTTATATCGCTCATCTCGCATCGACTAGCAATAAGCGAAAGCATGGGCCTCAAAACCACTCCAATTACTATCTTCGGTTCCAAGTACTTCTATGCTACGTATTGCGTGGCCGGGGCCATGTTGGTGCGCAGTCTTGTTCGAGGAATCGAGTACCTGCAGGGAGACAAGGGGTTCATCATTGCTCACGAAATATTTATCTATCTTTTCGATGCCGCCCCAATGGTTCTCGTCCCGGTCGTCTACGTCTTTATCCATCCAGGGAAACTTCTAAGGGATGCCGCAAAGGTGGTGTCTGATGGCACGGAACTTGCGCGATATGATGTACTCAGTTCATAACCACGCAGTAGAAGGGGAGATGGGAATATTCATCATTTCAAAGCAATTATGAGGTCACATAGCGAGATTGCTGGGCCTTCGAAGGAAGTATATAGAGTGACAGAAACGCATCGTGTTTGGTTGAGATAGTATATATTTGTGCAATGGCGTTCATTTCTCATAGAAAACATTCATTAACAAATCCCCGAACCCAAACCAACTTTCGAATCAAACTAAAATGAAATAGTATATGGAAGGACAAGGTAAGTGAGAGAGCTATGCAGCTGCTGAAAAAAAAAGGGGAAATTCCCAAACACCAAGAATTTAACAACTTGACACCATACCCAGTATCACAACACATTAATGGAAGGAAAAAGGTTGTCGCTAGTTCACGTACAACATCACTAATGGGGAAATTGGATTCTATTCAGGAGAAGTATAGCCTTGGCATCGCGTATTCTGAAGAAATTCAAGAAACTGGCTAGCAGTTTTCAATAATAAGATATAACACTTGATTTAAAAAAAAATCTAGAACAAGTGTATCATAATATATTGTTAGCTGTAGCCAGGCAATGGAAACCGCAATGTCCATAAAGACTCAAGGAGGCATCTAAAATTCGTGTTATCCAGATCCAGCAAGGATGGCAGTCATATGAATGCAAAGCAAAACCTCAGTGTATAAGGACTATATTACAAAAACAGACAGGGCATTTTCGAAGCCAATCAGACTTGGTATTATCATATCCTATACTGGAAAACTCGGCGACCATAGAAATTAGTTTTATATGATTTAGATTACCAGTCCTAGAGCAGCGTAATTCTTTTGAAGAGTAGCTACTAACACTCTAGATAGAGAGTAGGTAACTACTCAGTCTAGATAATTGTATAAAAGAGAGTTGGGCGATAAATACACCAAACTAACATACACCATTTTCTATTTGATGAACATATTACCGGATGTCCGAACATACGCTCAACTGTCTGGCTCCTTGTATGAGATACAACGGGCGACTAGAATTCATGGGGTCTCGAATGCCAAGTTATTCAGTCACTCCTTTAAAGAAAGTCAAGATTGCCATTAGCATGATGCTGTCGCCCAGTGACTCTGTCGTTTGAGCATACAAGACCTAACCGCGTGAGAAGCAACGTGATCTGACCTAGCAGCCAAGAGCTCCTGCCTCACAGACCTAGCATCCCATCCCCACCAGCCACAACGATTTTTAAACCAAATCATATCCTCTCTCCATCACATACGACCATACCTGCTAGAAAGCACTGGATCCCGTTTGATCTCCGAGCGTTAAGCTAGTAAGGGGTCAATTAGTAGCTGGGTCGGTGACGACCAGCGAATCCTGGCTGTTGTATGTTTATTTTTGCCTCTTTAGATAAATATCTCATGTCTTTCAAAAGCCAGAAGAAGTGGTGTTTCCTTTGACTCGGAACCCTTCTAGATGGCTTGATCATATAGGCGGACGCCATGATAAACGTTGGGGGTTTACGCTCCCTTCTACCTTTTGACAACACACTAAGCATTGTAACAATGTGACTTCTACAAGAGCTGGGACGGTTATAAGCACGGATAACCGCAGTTCTTCGTAACCCTCTGAAATAAGCCGGATCCGGATCGTGAAGAATGAGGACTGGGTTTTCGGGAATACGGAGACGAAGTTGGTGCCAAACAGTTAGCTGTATTGGCAAACGTTATTTCGTTTGCTCATTCGAAGTTTCCCCTCACATAGCTCTGCATCTGTCTCATCTCCCCAGTAAAAGCTCACACGGAAGTTCCCCTGAAACGCGAATTGGGCGATCGAGTGTTGGCCTGTTACGTAGCCAACAATGACTCTTATTGTTACAGAGACCTCGGTCCGCCAAATCACAAGCTAAGTGATGTCAATCTTTCCTCCACACGTGAATCAAAAGGACAGGAATACTGGATACAAGGCTACATCCGTATAGGAAGGGATTTTGTCTTTGACCGCCTGAAATTTGCGGCTGAGCCTCCTACTATCTCTGCTAGTCAGGGCCAGGGGTAAGGGTTAAACTGAATCCAGATTTCCCCGCATATCAGGATCTGGGGAACAATAGAACCTGGAGAGCAGGTTTGTAATTCATCTCTGGTGGTGTAGTGGAAGGTGGAAGGGTGGAGCGGATAGCCTCGGCTCGGTACAATGACATGTGCTGCCGATCTGTGGTTTAGTCGGGCACCATGTGAAGCCAACCGGAAAGACTCAACAACTTCGTTCAGAACTTGCCGGTCTTCCCTCAACCCCACAGATCTACCCCATCTCATCTCCCTGTTTTCAATCTAGCTCAGCCGCGCTTTCCCTCACCTTTCCCATTTGTCTGCGAGCGGACCATGTAGAGATCAATCGGGCCTTTAGTCCTTAACATCGACAATGGGTCTTTCCGGTAGAAATTCGTAGCACTTTGAAATTATGCAACTAAGACTCAGATCCCCTGCAAGGTCCCGGATGTTTCGGCCAAAACGTTAGTTAGGAAGACGATCCAAATCCTGTTGTTGTCGGCGTCATGCCAGCTCCTGCAATCCACAAACGAGGCATGATCTCACAACCCCACATCTCAAAACCAAAAACGTAGAATTATCGTCTGGAGCATGATGAACCCCTGTATCATTGCCTCTTTTGAGGTGTGTTGGGATATCAGTCTCACAGAGTGCGGGCAAACGGAAGTAATCCTGTGTAGAAGTTTGTTCAAGCATTATTTCTAATTAGATGCTTACTCCGATTTCGAGCGTGGCAGATAGAAACACACCCAGAAAGGAACTTTGTCGAAGGGGCGATTATGGTACCAAGCCCGCAAAAGAACCTCGGCGATTGGGTAAAGTATCAACTGGACTAGCGAAGAGTGAGGAGAAGCATCTACGATACTCTATCTTAGTAACTTGCGGCCTGGAAGTATCACCAAGCTGTTTCAAGATGAATACACTAGGTGAAATAGCTGTCCATCTCATGGGATAGGTTGGCTGAGGTCGGCCGGTTCCTCTACACCGGCAGTGGCTGTATCAGAAACTCGATTAAGTCATTTTAGTTGAGATTGCAATATTTGGGTTGGGTGTTTTGAATCGATAATTTCTTCGTATCATAGCTATTGAGAGTTCTCTAAATCTTAGTGAAGACGGATTGTCGTATTGACATCTATTTTTACTGTCTTGGAATAAGATTCTTAGTTTCTTATACCAAGATGGCAAGGTTTTGTCAGGTTACTCCTTTAAAAGGGACGCTGAGTTCCTTTCGATGAACCAAATGGTGTTGGTTGTATCTACTCAATGTTCAATGGAGATGTTCATTGTAATATGCTCACTCCTATTGGTGTTAAGACTCAATCGGGGTGAGAAGGTTGTACACTCATCGCCCCCAATGCTACACCCACGAGCTTCGCCCACCATAATCAAAGGTATCAAGTTGACTGTCCAATCCCGCAAACAGATGCAGCAAACGCCTCGGTTCAGGCTTTGAACGGCGTTGAGGGTGTTCCGATCAAACATCCACGCAACACTCCATGTTTCAGCGCATATTTCATTCATCGTCGATGAGGTACCGTGACAGAGAAGATCATGTATCAGATGTAGTCCTCCCGGGACCACCCGCAACGAGGTAACAAACATATTGGTTCACAGGAAAGCTGCACCGGCAAGACCCCTAATGCAAGGAGAAGAAGATTACCTAGCATCGCATTGGGAAGGATACCGCGAGTAGATTTTCCAGATAGTACCTTGCAGTATGCTAATTTCCGTAGCTGTGTAGGTGCCATTGCAGCTATTGGCACCGAAAGCAGCAGTCTTTGCCACATCTGGATGACACAGAGCGGCGCCACAGGCGCCAGACTTTGGGAGCAATCTTATTCACAGTCAGCAGCGGTGGGAGGAGTGGCATGCACACAAAGGCCCTTCTCCATACACCCTTTGGAGAGTACACTGTAACCCTCCTTGTGGTGGCTGATCTGCCAGGGCTGGGGGATGGTGTGGTCTCCCTGCAGGTTTCTGCATCAAGACATGGAATACGAACTCGAGCGACGGAGCGAATCAGCGCGATTTTGTTCCAATTCATCGATGGGATAAGTGTTGGAACGTCATGCCTGGGATGCATGCTATGTCATGTCACAACGTCTCGACAGTTACAATTGACCAAGGCGACTGTTCCATGCCAACTCGCCTGGGAAAGGCAACCCAAAGGGCCATCAGACCACGCATGCCCCTTGTTCCATCACCCAGGCCCTGTCTGGAGGGCAGGGGGTCATGTCGCGGTGGACAGAACCAATTGGCTGTATTGTTGTACACTGGTGCTCTTATTAATGTGAAAAAGGTCATTTCCCGTCCTGGCCCCAGACTGTGCATGGGTGTGTAAATCAATTGGATCAATTCAAGTATCCTGCTCGGAAAGTGGCGGTCATCCTTTGACGCAGAACGAACAAGCAACTGTGGAAGCAGATCAGAATAGAATAATGCTGTAAATAGGGGGATCTCACGGTGGCCCTGCGGATGGGGATACTCAAATACAGGTGCATTTTAGGCTCAGGTTTTCAATCAATGTCTGATTGATGGATGGATGGATGGGTGTGCTTCCTGCGCCAAGTAAAACGGCCCGGGCAAGAGAGTCATACAGAGTGACAATGGAGAGACTTCCCATGACAGAGGGGATGCATCATCGGGGACAGTCGGCCAATGGCAAAGACTTGACCCTCGTCGGAGGAGCCATCCTCGATGGGCCGTCACTGGCTGGCTCAAGGCCCTGTCCCTGGCTCGGCTGCTCGACTGCGACGTAGCGAGCCAACCAGAGTGCGAAAAGTTCCGTCAGAGAGGGTCCGAGGAACTAATTCCCCGGATTGTTGTCTGCCTGTCTGTAAGTCATTGCCTGGTACCTCCGCTTCAGCCCAACAAGCTGTGGTGTTGTAGCACTCCCATACCACCATACTCACCGTTCCGTATTGGCGACCTGCGCTGCGCACCCCATCATCTTGTGGCTTCATTTCCTTTCAATAGGGGGAAGGTGGATTGAATCGCCAGAATAGAAGAGTAGTGGCAGATTTGGTCCATCCGCCCCTCTCAGAGCGCGCGAACTGAATTGATCGGGCACAGACCACGGAAAAGCTGGGGAAGGCCCCATCGGTTCCGCTCTTCTGTTGCCTCGTTGCCGTTATTCAATCAATCCCCAGCCTGCCAGGGGGCAACGACGAGCCGATCACTGCTCGTTCCTCACAAGCGCAGTGCAAAAACGAGCATGTCACAAGCCAAGACGATGCGGAGAGACGACAAAGGGCCAGCTGGGCCGAGGACGAGCTAGCGGCTGAAGGAGTCAGGCTGCAGAATCGCCGAGAGATCTGATGCTCGATTCCGCATCCGCCGAGTCTGTCCCTCCCCAGCCTTGGAGACCAGGCAAAGGAATTCGCGGTAGGTGAGAGTGGCAGCTTATTTCTCGGCAGAAAGGTAACATAACCTGAAGGATTGTACCTAATTGTAGCCTTTCTCAGAGCGTACAGAACGTACATGTAACCAAAGACACGAGGCATGCGACACAATCTCGACAAAACGGTCGCATCGAGTGAGTTTTTTTGTTGCCTGGGAGCTATTCCAGAAGAAGCTGCACGCTTTGAACTATCGTCATTCACATGTTCTGGGGAATGAGGGGAAGGCGACAGAACAACAACACACCTCCGAGGCACATTACCCCAGGTTTGGTTGATCCCCAGGCGATATTCTCTCATTGCACCCAAAATGGATTAATGCCAGTTGATCGAGGCTGGTCCACTCTGTATCCTCCACTCTTCTCCTACTCGGCTCTCTGACGAGCTGCCGATCTCATTTCACTCGGAAGTGTGGCTCGAAAACGGAAGGCGAGCCGTGATGGATGCCATCTTCTGAGAAAGGAGAGGCGGAGGTGGTCGAACAGCACGCATCATACGTAGTAGACGACCAACGCCACATCCAATATCGCTTCCTGCAGTCAAGCAGCCACCCGTGCACACAGCTCCCGTATCCATTCCTTGCCATGGGTCACATTGGCAACGGGGGGGATCGCACACCTGTCTGGATGCCAGCCCTTTGACCTGGCCCCTGCACACGCCCCTCCCCCTCCTGCTTGCTGCAACGACAAGCAGGGATGTCTTACAGGAGAGAAGGAACACTCCTCATGCGACTTGCCTACTGTGTAAGTGGGCTGGATCGAGCCCAGGAGAGATGTATGTGAGGCCAATACAACCGTGATTCCAGGCTTTGGTGCTCACCACCCACGCGACTGTTACATTCCCGTCCTCGTACCTACATAAGAAGACAACCACCACGCACTCACCGTCCCTTGTTCCTGCCTCCCCTTCCTCTCCATCCACTCGCTTGGTCATCATCAGCACGCATACATACACTCGTTGTCAATCAACTCTGTACATAATCACGCACCCTGAATTCAGCAAGACGCTCCAGTCAAATCAGTCAAAATGAAGTTCTCCCTCGTCGCCATTGCCTTCGCCGCCGCTGTCAGCGCCCAGAGTCGCTCCGACATCCCTGAGTGCGCCGTCGGCTGTCTCGACGACGTTATCAAGTCCAAGACCAGCTGCTCCACCGACGACTATGCCTGCGTCTGCAAGAACTTCGAGGCGCTCCAGGGCGACGCCACTCCTTGTGTCCTCGAGAAGTGCGGTGCCGATACTGCCCTGAGTACGTTCCCCCCTTTCACTGACCCTCCCCCTGGCCAACGCGAGGAAAACTAACCGCTCTCCCTTCGAACAGACAAGGTCCTGCCCGCCGTCCAGAAGCTCTGTGCCGCCATCAGCGCTTCCCCCAGCAGCTCCGCCGCCGCTTCCACCTCCGCGGGCTCATCCTCTGCCTCTGCGTCGGCCTCGGCCTCAGCCTCAGCCTCAGCCTCAGCTTCCTCCTCAGGATCGGCTTCTTCCTCCTCCAAGTCTGCCGCCTCCACTCCCGCCTCTTCCACCGGAACCACCAGGCCAACCTCCAACCCCAGCCCCACCGTCACCTCATCCACCAGCACCGTCCCCACTGGTGCTGCCGGCCAGCTCGCTCCTCTCGGTGCCCTGGCCATCGGTGCCCTCGCCTTTGCCCTCTAAGCAGAGACTGGATAGGTCTATCCATCTCGGCTCTATGGGAAACCCCGGCCATGTGGTTATGATGAGAAGACGGCCTCTGATGATGATCAGGCGTTGTATTCTTCCTGCCCTTCATGGGCTTTCGTGAAGCTTTGTAATGGATGCTTTTGTTGTTCTTTGGTCCTTTGCTGTTGGAAACTAAGAAAAAAAAAACACGACGCGTCAATTCCGTCCTCGCCAGATCTCGGGTTGAGAAGACAGATTGGACTGCGATACACAAGAGACGGAGGAAAGGAACATGGGCGGAATATATCAATTACCGTTCTAGATAATAATACTTGGAAAATCACCTTTGCTTCATCATATCTCGTTAACTGTGCCTTTTGCAACCTTGTCAGCGTGAATGTACCCAAGCATCAGCAAGAATGAAACAGCGGATTGGTGAAAAGCTCAGCCCTTCGTCAACCGTCAAAGATAAAGAGGGCTGGACGGATGAAGCTCTCACTTACCATCAGACAGAAAGACTCTTGTTCATCACGCTCTGCCTTCCTCAATCTCCTCCAGCCACTCCAACACCATTTGCGCAACCTGCTTGTAGTCCTCTGCACGTCTTCAATCAGTCATCACCTCCAACATCCAACACCCATTCGACAAAACTCACCTTCCTTCAGACAAAAAGCATGCGGAAGATCCCCCTCGTCCACCTCAATCCTCGTCTCGCCGCCATCCTTCCTCCTCCGCGCAATGAACTCATCCCTCAGATGGTTCGCAACCCAGTGGTCCTCCTTGCCATACAGGATGAAGAACCTCGGCGCCCCTCCCTCCTCCTCCTCCTCCGCCATCCCCCACAGCCTCTCCTCCCAAACCTCCTCCCTGATCGTCTCCATCTCCGACTTGCCCAGGTGCACCGCCTGCCACACCCCGTCCCGGCTCTTCAGCCACCGCGCCAGCACCGCAGCCATCCCCCCGTCCCCCTTCACCCCGACCACCCGGCCCACGAGCCAGCGCACCGCCGCCTCGGGGATCACGCCCAGCAGCCCCCTCGCCAGCACGTGGAAGTACGAGTCCATCAGCGGCACCTGCCTCAGGAGCTGCATCCGGCGCCCGCTCGGCGACGCCGCGATGTGCGTCAGCGTAGGGAAGAGCAGGAACCCATGCCGCAGCCTCACGTGCCTCGCCCACTCTTCCCTCTCCTCTTCCCTGAGGTGCCGGTGCATCACCTCCGTCGCAATGTACGCGCCCACCGAGTGGCCCATGAGTATCACGTCCCCGTAGCCCTTGCCTCCCGTCCTCTTGGCCTCATCCCTCACCACCACCGCCACGTTCTCGTACACGGAGCAGATCTGGCCCTCCATGTCGAGCGGAACGTTGTCCGGCGCCGAGAACGGCGGGTGGTGGTCCTCGTCGTCGAACCCGACCAGGTTGCGCCCATACAGGTCCACCTCCACGCCGTTCATCGACGCCGAGGCGGAGATCAGCTGGCGGAGGTGGGCCAGGAACCCCTCGTAGAACTCGATGAGGCCCGGGTTGCCGCAGATGAAGTAGATCAGGGCCCGGCGGCGGCCGTTCTCTCCCGGTACTGGTTCATCCTCGCGATGCCTCAGGAATATCGAGCGGGGAGGCTGTATCTGTGAAGCAGCCATCTTTATTTCACGTACAATGTGGCATTTCACGCTCGGATTGTGTAAATTGCCCGTGGGAGCTCACCATATTGATGAAGCCAGGCTTGGGCGGACGTCCCTTCGAAACGGCATTTTGGGGGGGGGGCGATAAGCTGATAACGAATGGTTGGGGCGCTCGCTCAGCCATGACGTCGGTTCCTCTACCAGTCCATAATCACTGTGTTGCACAAACCCAACAATCCTCGGATTTGATGGCAAATGCACTTTCAGCGGGCCAGAAGTGAAGTAGGAGGTTGTGTTCAGAATGAGCCCGTTGTGAACATCAAAGGGTCAAAAGTGGCCGACAGGGCCATAATAGCGTGACTTCACCTGCAAGATACACGTACGCATATGCACACGTCAGCCGCGGCTCGGCATCCCCGGCCGTCTGCATTGCTGTAGACACTGAAGTCTCTGTATTTTCCCGGCTGAGTATCCATTTTACTTCTTTCATTTACTTGCTGTCCTGAGAAATGAATGCTTACGATCAATCATATGATGCCGAACATCTTAGCCGAGCAGTCAGCGTGCGGAGGGATCAACTTCATAAGATATATGCATACATGAAACCAAGTCATTGGACGCGATGATAAAATAAGATAAGCTACTTTTATAGGTTCATAGGTGTGCTGTATAGAGTTGGTTATTAACTTGTTGCTGTGCTGCCATCACTCTTGAATGTACATAACTGATTGTTCAAGCACCGAAATAGGGAGGCTTAAAGGAAAACATCTCGATATACCTAAAACGACTTTCACTCCTGGCCACCAGCGCTCCGAATTGTGAAATTCTTTTGTATCTCCACGAGTCCTGCTGAAAATTTGGTGACTGCGGCCCACGGGGGCATGTACCGATGAAGCTCAGTTAGGGCTGGGATTGTCGTAGGCTCGTTTGCGTCGCTGTATGCGCAGCGAATAGTCACAACCAATGAATCATCTGCGAGAGCATTTGTCTCGGCTCGGAGTTTGAGCTCGTCTCGGTCATCTGCTGTTGGATCTTCATGCTCGCTAGCCTCCTCCGAAAGCTCCTTGGCTTTAAGCTTCAGGTTCAATTTCCAGGGCCTGCTCCGGTCCCGTCGCCATAAGTCGATTCGTTTCACACCACTGTCTTGTATTTTCCCTCCGAAGCGCTCCTGTAAAGGCCCTGCGCCCTCAACTGTGAATCCTGAAATGGGAATGGAACTTTCCAGGTAACAGAGACGTGAGTCCACAGCATCGACCACCACGTCAACGGATGACCCATCAAAAGACTCGGGGACTGTAACCTTGAGGAGCTCCTCTACTTTCACACCGCTCACTAAGTTGAGAGGCAAAGAAGAAGCATCATAGCGGCATACATGCGAGTTTTTGCCTCTTCCTCCTGGGCTGCAATTGAGTTTTTGATTGGCGGTGCTTGGCAAACTCGAAACAACATTGTGAATGAACGGATTCAGACCGGAGAGTGAAACTGTATTGGTATCATCGTTCAAGTCGACAACCTGGTGGAAATAGAACTTGAATCGGTTGTTAACCGAGAAAGGGAAGGTCGCAAGGTTATAAATAAGAGTTGCAATGAATACCAACAATAGGAATAGAGGTACATGGTGGGTGACACGGTGAATGAAGGGGGTTATAGGAAGAAGCAGCACGATGGACACGGCTGAGATGGCCAAAATGGGGACAAGTAGACTGCCACCATCAGTGCCAGTATTTCCTAATGCCGACATTGCGAGCAGGCCGACATTACCAATCATCAACACTGGGATGGGAGCCAGGACGATAAATTGGATAAACCAAGTCCAATTTGGCAGATGTCCTGACCAAGACTGTTCATGGCCGTAAGGTTGGGGACGAGGCTTGGGTGAAGAATCTGACGATGGAAGGGAAACGGACTGCCTGTAAGTGCTGGCAAATGTAGTTTGGTTGTTCGACCCATAGCCTTGTTCACCAGCTCTGAGAGGTGTCGTTTCCGTCGCGTCAGCTGTCTCATCTTCATTTTCCTGCTCTCCAGCCTCGTCGTCATGCTGATGCTCTGCAGAAACAGACGCTGCCCGATTGTCCTCCTCGCCGTGATTTGGGGGTGCATGGTCATTGGCGATGTGCGCATCATGAATCTGGTTGGCAAACTCCCTCTTAGATGGAAGGACGAATAGCTCTGCCAAGGATATAAAGAGCGCCACGAAGATAGCAGTCTGTAGGAACACTGTGAAGTAGAATCCTCCTAGCTTCAGTCTATCCTCTGCTACAGCGGCAAGCACCTGAACCCCCCAGCCTATGGCAAACAACCAAACGAGTGTAAACCCACGCTGAAGTGCGGTTGGTCGAACAAAGCTAGAACCTCGTAGAAGCAGCCAAAACACGAAATAGAAGATCGAGAGAGACATAGCCCAGCTATCAACAGGTTAGCCACGGGATACATAAAGACAATGACTGTCAAGAAGTAATGTGAGCAAAGAAGATGAGACATACATAGAATAGGGACTGCTATAAACGATCAGCGGGTTGACCTTAGCAACCAAAAGGGCGAAAGCGAAGGTTATTCCAGTAGCAATGATGAAGGTTATCGGAAACCGGAGCAATCCCTTCCAGCCACCAATCCGCACCGGATCCTCGTTAAGCTCCGAGTGAATTTTGATATCACCAGCGAAGAAATAATACTTATCCTTGCGACACAACAAGTAAGTGAGAACAAGCAGCACGAAGGGCGCCGCAACAAGAAGGGATAGAGACCACGCAAAGAGCCCTCTAAGCGCAAAAGTCGCCCAAGCCCGCCCCACGAAGTCGAACCACACGCCATCCGTAGGTCTTCCGCTTTGAACTTTGTCCTGGTCGCCATCGGGTCGGTCGCCATGGAATTTCGTGCTCGTGGTCTGTGAGAGTGACTCAGTGGACGCCAACGCCGCAGAGAGCATATGCCAGACACTATCGACCGAGGTGTGACGAGTGTCATCCTCATTGGTGTGGTACCGTGATCTCGGCGCGTAGAAAGCAATGTCCAATCCTCGCATGCCATAAACGTCGTTGAAGATTCCGTAGTCGGTCCGGCTCTTAATGGCACCGCGTTTGAAGGCGTCCCCGGCAATAACGGAGCCGAACGGGTGAGGACTTTTACCATACGCCTGACTGATCTCAAGATCGGTGGCACGGAAAAGAATAGCGCGGCCGCCTGCTCCAGCTCCCTCGAGGTTGACAAAGGTATGGGCAAATTGCGAGAGTGGGCTCTGACCAAATGCCTCAGCCCCAAGAAGGCCGTCTTCTTCGACATTGTTGAACAACAGGACAATTCCATTCCTGGGTTGATGGCCTTTGATGGTGAAATAGCTCAGAAGCTGAAGCATGCTAACACAGCCAATGCCATCGTCAGTAGCACCTTTGCCGGTGGAAACCCTAGTATTTCATTAGCGCATCTCTCACGAGCGTCGCGATAGCTTCCCGACATACGAATCAAAGTGACAGTTGACGAGCACGCCGCCCTTTCTATGGGTTCTCTTGTGAGAAGACTCCGAATTCCACCAATCGCCATCAGAATCCTCGGCGCCCCGGATATAGATGTAGAAGTTGGTGCCCTCAAAATACGATGCGCCTTCTTTCCCCAGCACCTTGGTGACGTTGGCGATCTCATCGTCAAAAAGAGTCACGAGCTCGGACTGGGGAGCTGGCGCATCGTCCAATTGGTTTTCCGGTGTGGCTGGGGTTCCATCGCACTTGTCAACTGAGAATGCGATTTTGTTTCTTTTGAGGATCAACTTGGACTGGTCGATCAGATACTGGCGCACGTCATCATTCTGGTGACTGTTGAAGGGGTGGAAGTGCTCCGTGATCTTCTGAAGCTGCTGCCATGCCTCGGTCAAGTTGATGCCATCGGGACCGCGATAAAAGGTCCCATCCGACGGGGCTGCCGGGACATGCTCGTGGACATAGATGAGCGGGATGAAGAGGGCCAGGTATGTGACCGTGGTCCAAAAGGTGACCTGCAAAGGCTTGAAGGAGAAGGGGTTCTGGCACTTCATAATGCTGGCATGCCTGGTACTTGGCGTCTCTAGGAAGTTGGGGACGAGGCAAGGGTGGCGGACTACTTCCAGAAGTCAAGGAATACAGAAAAGCGATGAGGAGGTTCAAGGGAAGCGCGTTTTGGATGAAGCTGAAATGGCGATAGTGCTGGTGGAGGTCGCGTCATGAAACGGACCCCGAGGGGGAGCTACCTCAAAGGAATGAAGACGGAGCAAAAGATGCTAACAACGCCTCCTCCAGGGAATGAAGGCGCGACGGGGTGTAGAGTCGACAGGAGCAAGAGGCAAGAGACACAGACGAGGCCACAGGCGCAGTTGACCCAGGAGGGCTGACAGGATATGTACGGAATCCAATGGTGATAAGATCAAGCCGGGCATTGTCCAATGAGCGCTGATGCCTGCTGACTCGGACGGCCTTACCTTAGCTGGGGCTCCCTCTAACAGCCCCCAAACTCCATCAAGGGACTCGCCCCAGATGCCCCACCACAGCACCGCATGAGCTCTTACAGGGGACCGAAGCCGCTAGTCTTCGGGCCAAGCTCAGTGGAGGCGATCTGGCCACTGGTGAGATGGATGCATAAACCTACAGCTCACCGATGGCGCCAGCAAAGGCGCAAGCCTCGCCCTCCACCCAGGGCCAATGGCGAGGAATACTTCAGCATCGTGGGTGGGCATTGAGTTAAGCCTCATGGCAGTGTCAAAATCCCCCTCTAAGAATTAAGCCTTCACCCAACTTCTCGAGGCTGCTTCCGGCCAGAGCTACATGTCAGCTACACTACACCACGATGCTCATCAACTTGATGCCTCTTTGAGAAGAGAGGACACAGTAACACTCGTCATTCCTCTCCCTTTCTCCAAAAGCTTCGCCTCAGCTGGCATCATAATTTAGCACGACCTCACACGGAAAGTGGCAGGACAGACAAAGGTCCTCCATGCGATATGTGACAGCTGGCGTACATATGTGCTTACACAGCCTTCCGCGCAATACGCCCCAGGAGCCCAACGGTCATAAAAATCTCACTAGAAAGGATGGATTTTCGTAGTAGCATTGGGGATGAATTCATCAGATACAAGATGACTCGGGTAAGCAATGCGTAACATCACCCCTACCTCACCGTCTCTTCTGCAAGTTGTTCGGTGCGTGCCTCATCCTGACAAATACCGAAGCAACCATGTCAGTATATGGATAGTATTTGCACTACATTCAACTAGTCGAGTTCTACAAACTAAATCCTATCCTCTTATTCATCAGTAGTGACCCGAGATCAGGAAGTCATCGCGTTGTTTAGCACTGGCACTGATCCAAGCTGCGTGAGTAATAAGTGAGGCAGAAAAACGTCCCATACTAGACATCAACGCCCAACTATCAAGCAATAAAGACATCCCAGGGTTAGATCAGAAAGTTTCAAGTTAAGGTACTAGCTAAGGGTAGGGCAGGATCCCTAGCCACGGGGGCAATTCTTGTTAGAAAGGAACTTCTCATCTGGTAAGTGGAATAAATGCCACCACGATCAGTTGGGAGATACAATGGCTGTGTCAGTAGTATCCGCCTATTAACAATCTAGGGTCCGATGAGAAAGAAAACAGAAATACAAAGGCGACTGAAATGTCAGTAATTCTCCTGCCCCGGTTAATTTCCAGCCATCAGTAAACGTAGCACGACGCAGGACCACTACGTCGTCTTATACTAGCAGGTTTAAGCACCAGGAGGTGGAGGCGGCGGGGGTTGGTCGCTTGGAGGGGGAGGTGGTGGGTGATCACCTGGGGGAGGGGGCGGGGGAGCATCTCCTGCTGGGGGAGGTGGGGGGACAGCTCCGCCGTATTGTTGGATGAGTGAGTTCAAACCAGTCGCATCCAAGCCTGGGGGAGCAGGGAGACCCGCGGCCCCAGCCTGTGGAAGACCAGGAGGAGCTCCCACGCCAGGTGCAGCACTGTAGCCACCATATCCGGGGTAGCTACCGTATCCGCCTTGCGTTCCGGGTGCTTGCTGTTGCCAAGGCGGAGCAGCTGAAGAGCCACCACCATATCCTCCTTGGTTGTAGTCCTGGCCATAGTAGTTGTTATTGTTCTGGTTATCTCTCCCACGGTCGTTGCGGTCTCTGGCCCATGGCGCCGCTGAGCCAGAGCCTGAACCTGAACCTGAACCATTATTGTTAGAGTCGTTGTTGCGCGATCTCCAGGGAGCAGGACCGCCTGTAGGTCCACGCTGCCACGGCTTGGCATCGCCGCCTCGGTCGTTGTAGGCCCCGGGGCCTGCTTCGATCTGGGCAGGCGCTGAGCCGCCGCCAAGTTCCTGCATGAGTTGCTATTCAAGATGTCAGTTGTTGATCTGCAAAAGCCAAGGGTAGCTGGGGAAAGACATACCTCCATTTCACGGTCAACAGCATCGCCGCCACCTGGTCTCCCGTTGGGGCGGCCATCATTGTTACGCCAGTTAGCACCCTTCTGTCGCTCAGGGCAATCACGGGCCATGTGACCAGCGTTGCCGCAGACACGACAAATGATGCTAGCTGTAAGATTCTGTCGCTCAGGACAGTCATACTTGCGGTGTCCAATCTTGCCACAGTTCTGGCAAGCTTGGTTTTCATCATCTCGGAGGGTACCGTTCAGGGCAGCAAGTTCTCGAAGTTGGTTACGCTTGAGTTCGTTCTGTCCTTCGGGAATAGAAGCAGCCTGCGAACACGTTAGCGAGAAACAAAAATGATTTTGAATTTGAACACTTACCGTTTCAATCACATTATGAATGAGCTGCTTTGCCTTGTTGATCTTTTCTTCGGTGTCGGCCATGATCAGGCAGTGGAGATCTTCCTCCTGGTTGCTAGAGTGGGCAGCGTCAGAGCGGCCTTTGCCTTCCTTGACGGAGCCCTTGCCACGAATGGCAATCTTAGCACCAGAATCTCCTTCCATCTTCTTCAATGTGTTACCACGGGGTCCGATAAGTAAGCCAACTTCATTGCGGAGAAACCTGAGTGTTAGTATCTGTTAAGTAATAATAAAGGTATTGATCCTTCCATGTAACGGACCAGCCTGATCGAAACACATGGAGAGGTGGGTTTGATCAGACTCCCAGAAAGGTTGAACGGAGGTTAGGGGGGTTAGGAGGGAGTCATGGTTAGGGTTAGCAATCATACTGAAGTTAATTTCCGGGTAGTCATTGACAGGCACATAGACCTTTTCTTGGGTCTTGGTTGGCCTGCGGTAATCCTGTGGTGGGTGGTAGTTAGGAATAGTCTTCATCGCCTTCTCAATCAACTTGTGGCGCTCGTCTTCGAGTCGCTTTCGGTATCGGTATTCTCGCGTGTTGATACGTCGGCCATGGTTATCGTATTGGGGGGCTGGAGAAGGAGACCTAGTTACCAAGAAATTAGTATGTGGGAAAATGCAGAAAAATCATATGCAGGAAGAGCAAAAGCATACCTGTCGCCATCAGCAGGAACAACATCATCGATACGAAGCTTTTGACTGATCTCCTCAATTCGGAGATGCAGGGTATACGCCTCCAACTGTTCACTCGTCATGGACGACATGATAGCGGTCGGCAAACCCATCAAGCCAGCAGCCTTGTTCTCGGATGCATCGCCCCATCGATTTCGCTTCTTGCGGCGGCGCGGGCCATCTGCTTCGCTTCGAGGTTCGGGGTCGCGTCCACGCTTCAGGTCGACGCTGCTCGTTTCGGGCTGTTCTTCGTCTTCACCTCCGAAGCGGCGGCGGCTCCCCAAGGGGATGTTGTTCGACCCGGTGATTCCTTGGTGTCTCCAAGACATCTTGCTGATGTTATTTCTGTGTCGTGATGAAGAGGATGAAAAATACACGTCCCAAGAAACCGTGATTTGGCTAGACAAGTTAGTGGTGTGGCAATTTCTCTGAGGATACTCGGAACGGCTTAACACTTTTCCGAATTTCGAACGCGGGGTGTGGGTACGATCACGTGATATTTCAACCCGCGCTCTCTTGGTTCTGCGACTACCCTGAACATCTAGTAACTGTATTAATATACGGTGATAAGCTTCCTCTCTTGGGGGGCATGGCCGACTCATATATTGGCCAGCCCTTGTTAGAGTTTTGAGATGTTGATGCCTGTGCCTATGCTACATGTGGTAAGGTACCTAGGTAGTTTTTAACTTCTTCTGGTGTTGAAGGTTTGGGTACTAATGGACCGCAACTTTCCTATGTTTAAAAGCAGCTTTGTAAGCAAGCACGTGTGTAGCCTGATCTTGAGGCAACCCTCTACTCTTTTACGGCATAAAAAAATAAAAAATAAGCAATGATATGCACCAGCAAGGCGTATATAGTTACGTCCAAGATGATGCCAAGGGTAATATAGTTTAGGAAGCCAACCTAAGTATAATTTCATTGCATTAAGCCGCCGAAGATCATAGCAATGAATTCATTATTCAGTTAAACTACAAGTGATGATAAAGAAATACATTTGTATTTGGTATTTACAAATCCGAGAGCTTCTTCGCCCGGTTCGCGGGAACATTGGGCGTGCGTAGTTGTGTTAGAATTCCGAAACCTTCACCTACGATGAAAAGGTAAATTGAGGAACACAGTGCTAGAAGAGACATCATTTTGGATTTCCTTAACCTGGGTATGTCTAAAACTCAAACAGGCTTTCCGAGTAAGGTTATTTCCCAACTTTGAGAAGGCTCAGCGCATGCCATTCTCTCCGTGAAGGAAACCACCACCACTAGTCAAATGAGGGCCTGCTTGGAGTATCGAGTAATCACTTAGAAATCGAACTGTTAAATCGGTGAATAGAAGTTTTAAATTGTGTGATCCTATGCACACTCATTTAAAAAGACAAACATGGTACTTTTGTACTGGCGAACTTGCTTTTCGAAAACAAGACGCGAAGAAAGTAAACAGCCCTGCTATAACAAAAGAAAGACAAAATCGAATCCAAATCCCACTATACACCAGATCAGAACCTAACCAAGAAAATAATAACTCGCAGTCAAGAACAAGGAATAACGCAAATCGAGTCCCGGTGAGGGTATTGGTCTAGGGTAACATAGGAAAGCGACGAAAGCAAAGGTATAGGGCGAACGGAAACCGTTGCCGGAGGGGGGGTTGCCACGGATTAACTGGACCAGCCAGTTAATCATCCAGGACGAAAGCAGCAGAACCTGCTGAGTACTTGGGGATTTTGTACGTGGCGGCTGGGTCCAAAGCGTACAGGCCGTTGTTGAACCTCCCGCCATAGGCCTTGAGCCATGGCTCAAGCATGGTTCCCGGGATGCTCCAGCCCAGGCGCTGGTTATGAAGCCAGAGTCGCACAAGGTGTCGCGAGTTGTCTGGGCCATCCTGATAAGCATCGCGTCGATGGATGACTGCCCAGTTATTAAAGAACAACATGTCTCCTTTCTTAAGACTCAGTTTGATTTCGGCGGACTTGGCAACTTCGGAAACGCGATCGAGGACTCGTCTCTGAGTTTCAGTGAGTTTCGGAATCTTCGTATTGGGGTCGGCCTTGGGGTGGGGTCCGAATCGGTGAGGATCCATGCTGCTCATAAGCCGGCCGCCTTGGAAGGCAAGGGCTTGCCCAAGGTAGAAGCGCTCAAGTCGACCGGACCTGCTCGAGAGAAAGCAGAAGTTAGCTCATAGTGTAATTGGATAGAAGTTGTAGTTATAGGATAGTTGCTTACGTCTGAACTGGCCAATTAGGTTCGAGTAGGACCCTGCGCTCCTCGTCCGTGAGCTTGTTGTACACCGTCGTGACATGGGTAAGGTAAGTGTTGCCCCCATGTCCCGCAGTTGACCGAGCTAAAAGAGCAAGGATATCGGCTCCCATATCGTTGTGGAAAGGCTGGAAAGAGTTAGTTTTAGGACCCAGCGATGAGAGAGCGAAATAGCACATACCAAGGCTTTGGTCGAGTGAATACCATGCCGGACCGACTCAGGAACGTTCCAGAGCTTCGAGCTGGTAATATGAGCTGAAATTGTTATTAGTGTCTATTGTTTGGACCAATTAATCACATCAAGAGGTATTCACTTACTCAACATATTTCCAGCCCCATCTTGCGCACCCCGTTGATCCGCGACATAGCTCGCTACACCAAGGTAGATGATAGTAGCCTCCTCAACCGTATATTGATCGATGTTCAAGCCGGAGAGAACAAAGAACGCTTGTCGAGGGTCATGCAAATCGTTTGCGAGTTTCTCGAGTTTTTGAGAAAGGGTCGGGAGAGGGAAGGATCCCTGGTTGACCTCCTCCACTTCAAGACCAAAACCTATGCCATGATTAGCCGCTAGAACGCTTTCCCGCTTCAGAAGTCCGATTGGCTCACTTTTGAAGTGCTGCAGAGCCTTTCTGATCTCTTCCTTGTCGCCCTCGGTAAATTGCAAGACCCACTCGTCCTTGCCATAGTTGCGTGGCAGCGGGAGGCTGAGGGGGATGTCGCCAGTCATAGTTGCTGTATTGGCTCAACTTCCTTTCGTTTATGCAGCCTTGTGGGTTCAGTTCAGTTCAAGATCTCGTGCCGGTAGTCAATCAGCTCGTTGTTATTGTTGCTGAGCATGTCTAGCCAAGTCCAGAAGGATATGGCGAGCTCATCTTCATTTATACGAATTGGAAGTGAGTAATACTCGATTGATCGTTGAGCTTCAACAGCCCCTAAAAGGACACCGTCCTGGCGTTCCATAACGGAAAGCAACATTTCAAGCCAACTTTTTAGTTTGAGGCTTGTACTTCCACCAAACACCGGGTGGGTGTTCAAGAGCCAACGTGACATATGTGTACGTTGGTAGATGGAGTTGGTCCTAAATTAGAGCCCTGGACCCCATTTGCGCCCTATGAATAACCCAACAGGTAATTCTAAGTCAGATGACCGGATGGACATGTCCCAAATATTCCGGGGCCGCCTCGGGGCCGTCAAGGCATCTTTTCCTCTGATAGGTCCGTATTTTATTCTTGTGTTGTTCACCAAGGCCCTGGATAATTCTTTTGGGTTCGCCGAGACGTTCGTCGACGGCCTGCCGACAGTTTAGAAAACAAGTTGGTGGATTGAACCATGTATGACGTCGCTTGGCCCTGTGAAAGAAAGGAGGCTGACTAGACTTACATGCAGCCTCATCAGTCCTCATGCTCGATTACATCGTGCCCAGCATCAGGCTTCTATCTATGAGTAGTATGATTGGCTTGGCTACGTGCAAAACCGGTTCAGGTGGGCAAGATGACTCGTGAATTGAGATTGGATGCATTGCAGAACCTTTGCGATGGGATGGATGTGTGGGGGCTTAGAGCAGGTTGTAACTCTGTTGGTTGTGAATCATGGACCAGGAAAGCTCCAGGTCGCTATATTCTTCTCCTTTGGTCTAATACTTGACCCATTCCCCTCTTAGTGTAGGGGCGACAAGTGTGCCTAAGGGGATCAGGGATAAGCAATTCACTAGGCAGTGTTAGTTATAAGCTACTCGGCGGGAGACTAGGTACTAGCATTGATTGTTCTATTGTTCCGTTTGGATACCTAAATCGATTTACACATCTCCACCTTGATCCTGAGGCTCGTCACGCCATGTTGGTGATTCAAATCGGCAGACCATGGGTTCTCCGTATGATGACCCAACAAGTCGCCGATCTATCTGCATCAACTCTACTCTTACCTCTTCTTTTCTTCTCTTCTTCCTCTCGCTTTTGGCGTCCCCCCTCCTTGCATTGACTCACACCGACCTTGAAGGCGTCGAAATGAAGTCACACGACGGGATTGCCGAGAGACGATGGCCTACAACAACGCCTTGGAGGATGCTCCATTGTTGATGACCGCTGGATATGAACGCAAAGACTTGCGTGGATACGCGTAATATTGCCATCTTTCTTGTCGCCTTACAGCAGCAGCTTTGCATGGCAAGGCAGACAGACTTGCATACCTATCTAGGGACTCACACCGAGACTCGATAAATACAATGCACTAGGCCACCCAAGTTTATGGAACTGGATGGGCCAACTGGCGTTCCTTTTTTTGGGTGTGGGGGAGGCACTGGTCAGCGGCTAGAGAGCCAACCACGCGCGCGCAATGATCGTTGTTTTAGGCAAAAAGGGAGGCCACAAGGACGGAATGGGGGCGCTCGCTTTGGATTTGGAAAGGACAGCCTGATGGGATTGGACGTGATTCCTGGACCCGGATGGGTCTTGTTCTAGTGGGTTCGAGCAACAGCTACAGCCACGATTTGAAGGCTGAGCAGCCAACCTAACGAGCACAGAGCGTGCATCGCATGGTCCACCACCGATATCGACCTCCGTCTAGGAGGCTGCTGACGGGCATGCCGTCAATAAATGGACAAGAAGATTATTCTTGACCAGGGCAAGGCTGTGTTCACCTCCGTCGCCCTTGGTAGTATGCACTTGGCTTTTAGTGTATGCGTTGGTCGGTCGCAGACATATCGGTCAGATCTTGCACGGCAAACTGGATGGTGTGTGTGGAGAGTGTGATAATCGATGGCGGCCGATTGCGTGAGGTGATGTGGGCAACTGACTGGACATTCATTACCTCAGTATTAGCACAAACTTATGCCTCACCCACGCTGCAGCAGTCCAGGGCAGGCCTGTGCAATCTGCACGGGGTCCACTGTAATAATTTACTGCTGGCGGGGGAAAGCCACGCACGTTGGTGTGATCGCCTCCGCTGCTGCCCAGGTACAGTACATCCATGGATCGCTGCCAGCGTGGCCCGGTACCTGCGGGAGGAGCCTCCACTGCCTCTGTATCGTATCGCTAGCGATGCTTAGGGAAAGTTGGCTGTCGGCACATGCTATAATTGTTATGTAGCCAGCAGGCGAAAGACAGGATGGAGAATAGGAAGGTGGCCAGACGCTACGTATACCTGTGTCTCGGCTCAAGAGCAAATTCTAGATACAGAGTTGCAGACGGGTCTACGGATTCTAGTCCGGGCCGGGATTAGGCCCAAGTGAACAGGCAAGGCAGGCCCAAAAGAGAGGAAAAACAGGCATCCAACCTGGCAGGCGCCGAAAACGAACTTAGCGGGTTCTGGGAGGTGCCGCGGGGGCCAGGGAGCCAATTTATTGGTGTGCCGCCCGTCTCCTGCCTGGTGACCGCAGAGCCTCAACGTTGGGAGTCTTGCCCATCGCCCACCCTGCCGCCTAGCGACCCAGGCATCTCCCCCCCTCCCAAATTTCAATTGTCTCTGAGGGGATAATTACCGCCTGCAAGGAGGGCGAGCCCTCTGAATTTGATGCCCCATCCACCCTTCAGCCCTCCCTTGGCCCCGCTGGACGCTGTCTTGGCCCCTGACAATTGGCCCTCCCGTTCGCCAAGCCCCGGAACACACTGCGGATATGCATCTGAAGCCAGCCACTGATCCTCAAATGCACTGTGCGCTTGCTGCCGATGTCATCGAGCCTGTGCTGTGCTAAGTTGTGCCGAATTTCTGCTCAGCGCCTGGGTCAGCGCCTCTTCCTCCTCACATTCCTTACCTGCTGGCTGCCTCATCATTGGAACGCAGGATCACAGGTCAACCTGTACGCCTGCCGTCAGCCTCTGGACCAGAACTTGAACCCAGCCAGAAGGCAACCACTGCCGAATCGCCATCCCCGTCTAAACCCTTAATCTCGCATGATCACCACTGGCTGATGCGAGCCACCCGCGCCTGAGCTGCAAGTTGTCGGCCCACTGATACCACACGCTTTTCGCTTGCCCACAATTGACTGTGCGGTGCACCACTAACCACGCTAACTGACGGGCGGCTGCACCCACCCATCTCAGTACTGACGGTTCCGCGCCGCGGCTCGTCTCTTCTACCAGGGCCTCACCCGTTCTCGCTCCTACCATACATACGCTAACTGGTTTTTTGCCTATTCATTCATCTCTCTGATCGACACAGGGCAGGTTGAAAGCGTTTTTGAATTAGTTGATCCCTTCTGATACCGACTAGATCAATTATTTTCTCTTCTTGCGTGTTCCTCCAGTCGATGAATGCCACCTTCCCGGGCCCTATGATGGACTATACCTCCCTTCTCTCCCCCCTCAGAGATATGTGAAGGGGGAACGGAACTTGGACGAAGCATGGCATATTGCCCAGACGCTGGCGTAAGTGGACCAATTTCCTATCTGTCTTACCATCCATCCCTACCACAGTCAGATCCCAAGCCACCAACGCAAGAGTGAGCATACACTACTCTCTAGCTTGCCCATCCTGGCTATCATCTTATGATCCAAGGCATCACTTCGCCCCTAAGCCCTATGGAGAGGTCAAGAAACTTGTTCCACAGCTTCCATGTTACCACTTCTCTCAGCCCTACACTACTACCGTCCAGGACTGCATCGTGCATTGGTGGCATCTCCACTGACTCACATGTTGGCTCAGGACCAACAACCGCCAGCTTTAAAGCGAAGGAGGAACAACCCCCCAACCCAGACGACAGGACCAATCCCCCAGCACACCACTAGGGCTTTTCATCAGCGAGGTCGTGTTCGGCTAGACGAACAGGTTGCATTTGCCAATCAGACTCTCAGTTTCCTTCCATGTCATCCTGGCGTGAACCCGCCAGCTGGTTCAGATGACAATGGAGTCTTCGTTGGTAGTCTTTCCCAACTTACGGCTGCCAACAATACGCTTGAAAACACACCCTTTCCACACGCGCCTCCTCATCCCCTGGCTGCTGAAACAGATTTCTTGATGCACTACTCCGGGCCAACCGACAGGCTGAATTTCCAATATGCCGCCCCCCAACCTCCATTTACTGAGGGGCCATTCCCATCATCGACAGAGGAAAGCCATCAACCTCCGCCCGCGCCAGTTGATAGCTGGCCGGTTGAAGACTTTGCGCCTATAGACGGCATTTTTTTCCCTTCAACACAATACCAGCCTACACAATTTGCCCCCGCTCTGCCTTGGCCCTCGCTTTACCCGCATTTCAGCGGTCTTCCTGGATCCCAGCCGCGGCTCGTATCTGAACATCCAAATTACTTAGGTATAGGCACAGATGCTTCCCCAACGCTCTATCATTCTGACGCTTGCTGCTCAACGGCAGAACCCTTGTCATCTCAGCCAGGAACATTCAAGAGCAGCGGCACCTTATGCCTCCCTAGCCCGCCCGAGAGCAATCCATCATATCATCGAGACATACAGAGCCCCTTTTCTCTCCATAACGAACCTCAGGAGACACAGGATTTCCAAGTCGGTCAGATCTCTAATGCAGACGCTGTAGCGGGTATTGGGCAACGCTTCTATGGCCCAGAAACACCTCTATATACAACTTCCGAGAGAAGCGAATCGAGCGAGCAGTCTTTTGGTGCCGCCATAGGTTTAACATTCCCTTTCCCTCCCGAATGCCATTATGTTGGCACCGAGGAGAACAACGAGCCGAGCGTCTCTGATTCCCTCGGTACTGAAAAAGAAGAGAACCCTGGCGAATCCCACAATGCTTGTTCTGGGTCTATTAAGGGAAAGAAGCCCGCAATTAAGACATGTGTGCGGTGTCGGTTCCAAAAGCAAAAAGTGAGCTTTGTCTTCTCATCCACCTCCTCGCCTACTGACTTTCCTCCAGTGCATTCTTGATCCTACGGATCCGGATGGACCATGTATTCCCTGTCAGAATATCTCACGAACCTCAAAGAAGACAATTCACCGAACTCCGTGTTTTCATAACAAAATTACCGATACTGTGCTTTTCCGTAGTGGCGGTCTGGGTCTGACACGGCGCTGGACAGGCACTGAGATGAAAAACATTGTCACTCCTCTTCAAGCTCGGAACTTTCGGACGATCGAATTCACGCAATCGGCGGAACAAAAGCCGATCGTTATCAAAGTCGTACCCTTCGAACCCATTGAAGGCGACATCACATCAAGATTTTGGACTGTAATCGAGAATGGTGTGGTCGTTCAAAAGTCCAAGGAGATCAAGCCGTTTTGCCTGGCAAATATTCGCCGAACAGCGATCTACTTCGAGCAGTATATTAAAGAGAACGCGATTCCGGACTTCAAGCGCCGTGGAGCACCAGGTTCCAGAGTGGATGCGCCCATGAGCAGTTATGACCCCATACAAGCGACATACCAAATGGCAGTCGAACGCTGGGAAAGCCTCCCGGTATGTACTCCGAAGCCTGGCATGTCGGTCAAGCGGAAGATGCACTGTTTACTAACCAGTCTTAGGGTGAGGTGAAAGCTTACGAAGGGGGCGCCCTAGTGGCTAATCGAGAGAAACGACTCTTGGGAAATTTATTTACTCTTTCGTTTGCGATACGTGAGTGATCAATGTCCCCTCGCCTAACCCTACGTCAACTGGTTCCTAACCGATCTCAAAGGCCAAACCACCGGAAGCGCGTATATTTGTGGCGAAGACACGCTGGACATGGCTCCGGAAACAGACGATCCGTCATACCCATTGAAGGGGAAAGTCTCGCTCCCGCGGATGCTGCTCGCTCAATTCGATAGCATAAACCATACGAAGTTACTAGTGCCCTTAAGGATGAAGGTGCTACGCGAGCTAGAGTACCTCATCGTGCAAAATAAGAAACGCTACTGGTTTACAATATACGTCTGCTTATTTATCTTGCTGCGAGAAGCGAGCTGGATCACACAAGACCGCTCTCGTCACGCCAAAGCAGTCCACCAAGCAAAGGTAAGTACAGGTTTCATAGATGACCGGGTACTAGGCTAGTGTTCTGACTGCGACAGATTCGTTACTCTATCCCGGGGTTTGTGGAAAGCCTCCAGGAAGGGTGTAATACCTTGCTCATGTTTTGGCATTACTACAATTGTCGGCCCATGCCTGCTTCAGTTGACGCTGCAGCTCACCACACATCATTTTTGTCAGAACTCACAGTAGAGCAGTATAACCTGGTTATGTGGACCATGACAAATTCGGGTGTGCAAGAACAGCTCTCCATGTGGCGAACCTACCGAACGGAGAATGGCTTCAGTAAGACTCTGACCTAGGAACTGCTCATTTGATTTCGTCGACGGCTAATGATTCATCCTGCACAGTACCCGAGCCTGAACAGCCTCACGACGGAGAGACGGCGTATACGGGAAACCAGCGCAAGTTACCATGGGATCACCCGTACTACTGGATTGCCCAACTCTTTGAAGAAGACTGGACTCCACATCCCACATACAAACAAGAATATATATAGCGCTCAGTTAGCGGTGTAATTAATTTGATAATGAATGGTTGCTTTTAAGATAGCGATATAGCTCATTGTCCTAGATTTGGAAAAGAAAAAGAAAGGCGAAGCAGCGCAAGAACGGAAAATGTACTGGTAAATCGGCGAAACGAATTAATGATGAGATGGCATATTATTTGATCTAGAGCCATAAAGAACACCCATCCACGCCCTCCCTTGCTAAACCTAGATCAGGCGAGCTTCGATCCCAGTCTCATGACCGACACAGACGTACTTAGGGAACATGGTTCCCGTCGTTACCTGCGACGTAATCCCAAGATGCAGCAGCAATATATTATTAGCTCGCCCATTCTACCCAAAACCAAGATATTATCCCGCCAAAGAAGCAAGCAGATAAAATAAAATGGAGGCAAGATATCGCCCGTTTTTAATAACCGGCAGAAACCACATTGTCAACCCAGACCGGCCACGTGCTAAGCCCTCCGAGTGTAAGAATGGGAGCACGAAGGAGTAGTAGTCTCGGGGAGCGAATACCCAGGCTCCACGCTGAAAATCTCCGTGGTGGTGCTGGTGGAGGTTGTCGGCCTCGGGGTCTGGGACCAGGCATACGGGGACGACGAGGGCGTCAGGTAGTGAGTTGAGTAGTCCTCGTACGACGAGGGTCTCTCCGTGGGGCTCACGGGCCAGCCGGCGGACGAGGTGTACATTGGGGGGAGGGAGTAGTCGGGGTTTTTGGAGGGGGGTCCCCGTGATGAGGAGCACAGGGTGACGGTCACTTGGCTTTCGGTAGTGGCCGTTCTATGTGAGTTTGGTCAGTGCCTTTTCTCAGGGGAGGGTTTTTTTTTTGTTGGAACGTTACGAGGTTCAGACATACGCGTAGGGCTCCGTCGTCCCCGGGGCAGAGATGTCGACGCTCTTCGTGGGGAAGAGCCAGTCGAGGGTGACGGTGACGGAGATGGACGGCTTGCCAGGGGTTGGGTAATCACGGACGGGAAGAAGGGCCGCCCCGTGTACTAGACTAAGCAGAAAGAAGAGGAAAAGGATTGGGAAAGCCATGGCTTCAAGGGCAGTAGCGGTTTCTTAGTTGCCAGAAGTTTGATCTCGTCTCCAGCTGTCCGATGAAGCCAGTAATGATTGTCGGGAGAGAGGGAGTAGAACGGATAGCCAGAGGGGACCCAAACTCGGATGAAGCCCAGGCCTACCGGTATTAATACCGCCGCCAGATTCGTACGGATGTGTGACTCTCGGGGCAATGACGGGAAGTTCAAGCTTCTCTTTACGGTTGTGGGCTGTTCTCCGGGTGTCCGCCGCCCCTTGTAGGAGTATTCCGACACACGTGGTGCGTCTCAGTCGTGTCATGCTCGAGGGAATCAGAGGTCCAAGTTGTAGTGCTGTCTTTGGTTACGGTCATTAGCTTCTTGGACCACTGAGTAGAGAGTGGGTAGACGGAGCTTGGGGAACCCCTTTAACGTATTCGGGCAATAATCCTTAGCTTTGTGTCCACTGTACAACATACTGGCTGCTACTTTGCACTCAAGAAGAACGAAGAGGGCAAAGTTTCATATGATGGATTGAGTTTTGTCATGAGGAGGTGGAAGGGGTGCTGCTGTGTGCTCTTTAGTGGCACTTCAGACGGGCCGTTTGACGGGTAGCAGCCGTTTCGTGGGACCGCGGAGCCCCAGTGTCGTCGGACAGCTCGGGGATGCCTATGAGAGGAGTAGGATCTCCGCAGAAGCAATCAGACATCGATTGGAAAGTGGATGTAAACACGTTGTTGGAGCATACTTGATGGTCCACCCTGCAGAGAGACTGTAGTTTGCTGATCTGCTCTAACACTGCGCCATCTCTTCTAATCGAGATGCAAAAAATGGACAAATAATTAACATGAGTGATGTAACTTAATGAGATCATTGATTCGTTTATTTAAGAGAAACTGAAATCGTGCTGGGAGAGTGGCACGTCTAGATACATATGAAACCATTGTGCTTGCATAACTTAGGGAATGAGGCTCTATAACAAACAATTCTTGCCATCCAATTAAGGTACACCAGTACCCGTATACCACTGAAACTCATTAAAAGCTTTCCTACGTGATGGTCAGGGAACACCAACTAGATTTCCCCATCAAGCTCAATGTCCCCGTGGAGGGTAGCCGGAGCTGTACGGCACTGGGGGCACTGGGCGCAGAGGGCTGGTGTCCTCGTACATGTCGGGCAGTGAGATGAATTCGGCTTCATCCTTACCATGGCGGGGCTGGCGGAGCTCTACCACGGATACTCCCACCGAATAAATGGCAAGCAAACTATAATGACACGGCTTTTAGCATTACACACTCACATCGAGCACTCCGACGAGGGCAACTTGCATCAAACTTACCAAAGAATAGCAGCCGCGCCCGAGACAGCCCAGCTTATGATGCAACTTGTGATTAAGGGGTTCCCATCCAGCTTACACACATTCGTGTTTGTCTGGACGCCCAACCCAGCCACGGCGGCCCAGAACAACACCTCAAGGGCGTTGAGGACCAGGTTGGCCTTTCGGCTCGCGGCCCGCCTGCAGGCCCGAACATGATGGGTGATCAGCTGGTAGCCTATCACCGCGATCGACTTGCCACCCTACGAGATGGTGTTAGTCTTCGGGTCAACGAAGGTGGTGTTGGATCGTAAAGGGGGGTAGCATACTGCAGCAAGTGCCATCATGTCCGGCCGCATCATGGGCATCTCGGCAAGCGCTATCCGGGTACCTGACCCAGCCATGGCCCCAATCGCCAGTAGGAGCGATATGATGTGGATCTGAGTCTTGATTTTGGGGTTAAAGAACGGCATGGCTTCGACTTGAATCGTGGCGATGGAGGGGTGGTCTGGAGCGAATGCAAAAATTTCCCTTGAGATTCTACGAACTACAGAGGCTTTATACACTTCATATTCTAGACTCCTTTAATTAATCGTCTATTTCGACTATTCTTGACTCAAAGCTTCGCCCGTTTTAACGGAGTCGGCGTCGCAGGACTGTGACTCGCGTTATTCGGCTTATGCGTGGGAGAAACGGAGAGTGGGTCGGTCCTCGTGTTTTATCCGAGTTTTGTATGAGGATTTTCGACTTCTCGTGATATTTAGGCACAACCCGAGCTTCACCTCCATACTTTGAAATTCATCTAGATAAGAATACGTGTTAGCCACGCAAGAGAATTTTTAATTTGAAGGCCGAGACCGAGAGAGGATGTGAGATGAAGGTTAAATAATCGTGTCTTCTCCTTTGTCTGGGCCAACCTGCTCGTCTGTTCTCTTCATATCAAGAATCAACATCACAACTAAGACGAGACGAAAGGGCAGCGACCACAGGAAAACACCATGCCTACACTCGAGACATACAATGGGTACCCGCTCTGGCGGTATATCCCGAGCCTTCCAGCGGCCATCATCTTTGTTGTCATATTTGCAATTCTTACTGGATTACACATGTGGAAGATGTTCCGGCATCGCATGTGGTTTTGCATCCCTTTTGTAATTGGCGGAATCTGTAAGGCAACTCAACTCAACCTCTCACATGAACCTACGGATCACCAAGTTACGACGTAAGCTAACACTCGTACGCCACAGTCGAAGTAATAGGCTACATTGGCAGAGCGGCAGCATACAACGCCACCGGCCAGCTCATCCCCTACATCCTGCAGTCCATCTTCCTCCTCCTGGGCCCGATCCTCTTCGCCGCGACCCTTTACATGACGCTGAGCCGCATCATCCGCGCCGTCGACGGCGCCCAGTTCTCCCTCATCCGCCTCAACTGGCTCACCCGCGTCTTCGTTTTCGGCGACGTCTTCAGCTTCCTCATCCAGTCCAGCGGCGCCGGGCTCCGCGTCCGGGCCAGTTCCGGGGACGGCAAGTCGAGCCCGAACATGGGGACCAACATCATCGTGGGCGGCCTCATCTTCCAGATCGTCATCTTCAGCCTCTACATCGCCGCCGGCGTCGTGTTCAACGTCCGCTTCAAGAACCACTCGGCCTCGGCGAGGGTGTCGCACGTCCCCTGGCAGGAAAACCTGGTCATGCTGTACGTGACCTCGGCCTTTGTCATGGTCAGGAACATCTTCCGCGTTGCCGAGTACGCCATGGGTAGCAGCGGGTATCTCCTTGGCATCGAATGGGGCGTCTACGTGTTTGATGCGTCGCTCATGACGCTCACCATGGCTTGGTTCTTCTGGAGGTATCCCAGCAGCTTGCAGGAGAGGAACAAGGAGGCTTCCGCATCCTACTCCTCTTCTGCTTAGTTTCCCTTTGTCATTTAGGTTTGGGAGTGTTGGGCATGAGCCCCATGTTATTCATTGCGTTGAGATATCGGGTCTAGCATCTTTCATTCCTGTTCTTAAATTTATACTTGAACTCTCATCCATATGAGCACCGTGTTTACTCAGACGGGATGGAAGAGTCTAGGTAGTATCGGGTTATCTCTCTTTTGGTTTATGGAAGCCGTTGTGCAAAGGATAGGTCTCACGCGTGGGACGAAGAGCGCGTATAGGGGAGGATCTAGAAGATAGAGCATAGCAAATGATATTTATTACGGTAATCCTTCTACGAAGACCGCGCAAGTGAAGACGGGATGAGTTAAGCTTGGTTGGTACCAGTTACCATGGCTCTTGTAATTCGAAATCTGTCTTGGTCCGGACTATCTGTCCCTGGATCGGCGATGAAATTACCATGGCTGATGGCTCTGGTGCTAATGTAGGAACTATTTCAGAGCTTTGGTCCAGCAGATGGTAGGTGAGACGGGGGACAAAGCGGCTTTGGGAGCGCTTTGGGAGTGTCTTTGATGTGTAAAGGCTCGGAAGATAAGCGCCAATCTACGAAAATCTTGACGCATCAAGGGTCTTTGGGATACATGGCGTGAGTCAGGGTAGGACGGACGGACGATGAACCCCTAGGGTCCAGGGTCTATCCGGTCATGGACTAGGATCAGCCAGCGATCGCGATGTAGAAAGAAGTGAATGAAGTCGTCTTAGACACGATCTGCGAACACCCTGATAGCCTAGACAAGAAAGCTAGGGTTCAACTATTGTCCGTAGTGGGCGACAATAATCCAGTCATTGCCCTGGTTTCTAGCAAATATTCACTCGATCGACTTACTTAGTAGCTGGATCCCAAAATAACAATGCTGTGTTGGACCTCTGAGTTTTCGATTTCTCCACACGGCCTCCTTTCCATGGGTGTTCGTTTGCTAAACTGGGTCATCCAAGCCAAATGTAGCAGCAGCGAACGATCAAGATCAACAAGGAGCTGGTCTGAGCGCGATATGGTAGTGGCCTGCCCAGTTGGGAGAAATTGTTGTTTCTCGGTTGATCTACGGCTCACGATGGACGACGTACGGATGGGCACGTGACATCAATCGTTGTGCTCAACGGTCTGCCCGTGTCAACAACGTCAACAGCACCAAATTGAGTTGCTTAGCCAGTAGGCTAACGGCAGAGAGGGAGTGTGGTTGAGTTTGGCACTATTTAAAGCATACTTGGGCTGGCATCCGAAGCGGATAACCCGATTCTTTGAAAGTTTACTTGACTTGGGCAAGCGCATGATGTCGAACGTTCTGTCCAGAGTCCAGACTGGAGGTTTGCGCGCTCACAGGCCGCTAAATCCCGGGGCCAATCAGTGGGCGACGGGGCGATCGAGGTGAGCCGCCATTCGCTGATGTGACCTGTCAGCCTTGCATTGGCCTCTGGGGAATGGCCTGATCGGCCCGACACAACTGCGCCAGACTTGAACTGGCCTACGTGGTGGGGCGGCGGAGCTGGACGCAGGACTCCTCCGCAAATTGAAGGGAGATGTCACTCTGTACCAAGCTGGCGAGTTGGCGAGCTAGGAACTAGAGAGTGCAGAAGCGTCAAACCAAGAAATTGGATAATTAATATGCATGTGCGATGGATGCATGAAGTGGGTGGCAGAGAAAAAGACGAACAACGGCGTCATCCGCCCCGTGGACCACTGGTCAGGTTGGGACCTTTGAGGAGGGAGCCAACCAAGAAGTACGGCTGCGGCGGCGTTAACCGCACCCGCAAGAGCAATTGAAAGCCGTTATCCGACGAAAGGGAAAAGATGGCGTTTTTGCAAAAGCCATCGAGTCAGGAGGATTACGCCAGTTTTGCGTGTCAGACTGCACGGTATTGCAGGAGGGAGATGACAGTGCAGAGGTGGCGCTGCTGAGTGCTGCATGCTAAGTGGTTGGCGCCTGAGCCAGACTTTTCTCACAGCAGCAGGCAAGCGGCGACTCCGGCACTGACGTATGGAGCCGTAGCACAAGACAATGACGATGCAAGCGGCTTGGCAGAAACGTCCTGGGCTGCGGGAGCCAGAATATCTCATCGATCTCTCTCTTCCGCCTCTATTTGTGTTTCTGGCTATATTAACATAGACGATAGTTGCTGGCGTCGTCCTCCACTACGGTAGGGGTTCATGCGTGTGATTGATTCCGCAAAGTGTGAAGGCCGGGGACCTGGGGGACTTTGTTAGGCCCCTGGAGGATTGTGCCCGGATTGGCCCTCGCAAGTGCAACACGGCGGAGTCTCCACCTGCTGTCATTGGCTGTCGAATGTGTGTAGAAGGCCTCAAGTGTTAGCTTTTACCCCAGTCCGGTAAGGCCCAGATTCGATGTGGAAGTATCCCTTCGCCGTGCGGAGCCTGATTGGCACACGGTGCTACAGGGCACGGTGCTGCAGAGCTGAGAGACTATCCCCTACCGCTCTTCTTGCACCCCCAAATCCCATAGCACAAGAATCAGGGAAAGACAATCAGGATGCTATAGTCTCGGGCAAGCGGCACATGCTGCTCTGACACAGCTACATTCCAGTTCCGAGTACTGGGCGCGGAAAGAGAAAACAAGGGTCTTGATGACGGGACGAATCAAACATTTGTGAGTGGAATGTCTTGGACCACAGCTCCTCGCTGGCAAGACAACATGTCCGACCCAAGACTCGAACAGCCTAGACAACGGTTTCTAAGACACTGGCAGCTAGCTGGCAGCCTAGACATCGCCTGAGGATTTCGATAAAGTCCCGCATGAGAAAACAAAGCTGAGACTCGCACCATTGAGGTGAATTGGTGGGTGTACTAGGAGACAACTCTATAATACCTATGCATGCCTTCTCAATAGAGTTTCATGCACACGGGATTTGCACAATGGTTCATGAAAATTCAGATCTTCTACAGTTCGCCCCAACTATTTTTGGGAGGATCGACGGTAAGATATGCGATCACGACCTTTTCCGTGAATGCAGGTCAATACGGACGATGATATACATACAATACGTGGGATAAGAGGCGATGTTACCATGCTGTTTGCCGTGCTGTACCTTGCCGTCGCTCGCACAGTGTCTCGTGTTGCTGGCCTGCATTGATTGGCCGTCGCCCGAAGGCCTCAACTGACGCCTCTAGGGCACAGCCAGCCTCCAGGGCCCTTTGTAGCCAGATGACAGATGACAGATTGGCTGGCGTAATTGTGTCTGCCGTTACTGCCAGCCAGCCAGCCATTCCTCAAGGAGGAAACGCTCCCACCTAACGTCAAAGAACATAATGCCACCAGCGGGTGATTACGATCCAAGGCGTCGGGGCCAGGCTCCCAGAGGCCACAGCCACGCTGTAATCTGACTGATCCCGCCTGGCGTGAACGCGCCAGACACAAACGAGATGCAGCAGCTGGAGGTGCGACCAGTCCAATTTTCCGTCCCACTTTTGTGTGCCGTGGCTAACCCGTGCCAGCCACGGTTGACACACTGTGCGCTCGACCAGCCTGTGTCCACTAATCCAGGCGCTGGGCCAATGGGGACCCCCGTTCTCTAGCCTGCTGCTCGCCTCTGTCGCGGGCACAACATTCCAGAGCAACCGGCCAAGACCTGAGCGTGGGCTGCTGGCAGCAAAGATGCACTGTAGAGCGGTACAACCGCCAGCCGCTAGCAACCGGTACTTGGCCAAGGTACCGGCTAGCCAGGGCTGACCCACTCCAAAGGGCCCTCCAGCCAGTAGCAATCAGCAGCCCACTGCAATTAGCAGCTGGGCTATGGGGAACGTCCCCAAGGCTTGCGCAGTGAAACCCACCCTTGCCCTGACCTCCTCGTCCTCCCCCAATGATCACTCCCCCCCCAAATCTCGACCCGCCTGCCACTCACTCCATCCATTGCTTCTGTCAATCCACTTTCTCTCGTCCTCCCCGCCCTGGTCTCCATCCATTCATCTCTTCCTCGAACCTGTTTTTGTATTATATCCCCATCACCAACCACATCCATCCCATACGAGAATCACGCCTCCAGCGCTGCTTTCGCCTTCGTCGAGCCCCAACTTGCCGCACGACATCGCCATCGCTTCGCCTTCCTGTATGTGAGCCTATTCAGTGGGCTTCTGCTGCTTCAGCGCCCGCACCAGGATTCCTTGCGCCGGTGGTTCCCCCGACCTGAGAGAAGAGAAAGGGCCGATAACTCCTGCAAGCGCACTCTCCATCACCACCCGACGGTGTTGACCCCCGCAAATTCCCCAGACTCTTTCCCAGGAATTGCCTCTTGATACTGCTTATACAGCAATACTCTGGGGAAAGTAGAGGTTGGCTGTCGACCCCGTCATCAGGCACCGAACCTACCCATCAACAACCCCAGTTCTGCCCTCCCCGGGTCTGCTCTGGCCCCCCTTCCACTTTGACCTCAGGAAAACCTCGTCTCCAGGCCTATAACCCTCGCCTGCCTCGCGAACCGTGTCACGTTGCACCGCTTCCACCTGCCACGCGATCTGTACCGCCGATACAGCAACACCCGATATCGAATTTCGCTCCGTTAGTGCCATCGCAGTCCACACATCGAGTCTCGTTCAACGGCCGGAGGGACGGAACGCGCCACAATGACGCAGGCCGTGAAGCGTGCTTGCGATGCTTGCCATCGTCGCAAGGTCAAGTGCGACGGTGTCAACCCATGCCGCAACTGCGGTCAGGCTCAGCTGTCGTGTACCTACAATGCGATCCCCCAGAAGAAGGGACCTAAAGGTTCCCGCGCCAAGGTCATCAGCGAGTTGAGAGAGACACAACGACAAACAAGTCTATCAGCAAAGGTGCAAAACCGAATCAATGGAGGCCCCTGTGCACCACCAAACCCTGGTTTGGCCCCGACCCCAGGGTTACTGACGAGCGAACTCGTTAAGGAGTGCATCGCCTTCTTCTTCGACAACCTATACCCACAGCTCCCGATCCTCGACCGCAACTCCGTGGAGCAGCAGGTGCTTTACATGGAACAGAACCGTGACGCCTACTGCCTGTTGACTTCGCTCTGTGCCTTCGTCATGCTCCAGCCTGGCATGAACATGCCTGCTGGTGATCCTTACAACCTCGATTTGTTACCTGGAGCAACGATCGTCTCGAGTCAGCTTCTTGTTGAAGAGGCTGTGAAAGTACGAAAAGGCTACGAATATCTCGACTCCATCAACCTGAACGTCCTGGCCACCAACTTCTTCCTCTTCGCATGCCACTATGGACTTGAGTCGCACGATCGTGCCTGGTATTACCTTCGTGAGGCTTCCACCATGATCCACCTGGCTGGCATGCACCAAGAGGATCACTACATGAAGCTTGAGTCTGTGGAAGCTTCACGTCGTCGCCGTTTATTCTGGCTGGTCTACGCTACCGAGAGGTAAGAGCCATCTCTAGTGTTTCTGGATAGAACCCGACTAACGATCATTCTAGGGCTTATGCACTCCAGCGCAGCCGTCCTCTAACCCTGCAGGCGACTATCAATTTACCCACAGTGAATGATGACATGACCGATCCCCTTGCTCATCAGCTTAATGGCTTTGTCGTTCTAAGCAATCTCTTCAAGCCCTTTGATGACACCTTCAACAACACCTGGAGCAAGGCTCGCCACAACTTGTCGCCACAGTACCTCTCCGGCTTGCAGAAGCAGCTCACCGACCTTGTGCAATCTTATCTTTGCCAGGATGCCAACTTTACTGATGCCCATACGAACCAGCAATGGCTAAAGAGCACTATCTGGCAGCTTACAAACGGTGCCGTAAGCGGTGGGAATGAGGATTCCATGTCTTATCAGTATTCCGGCAATATATCTCGGGATCTGCTGATGAGCATGGCTTCGCAATTCCCTAATCAGGGCATGGAGCTGCTAAACTCAGGACTGGTATGTGTCCCACGCTAATCACCCAGCTCTTTTACAGCACAACTTTTACTGACTATTGTCTAGATCGAGAAGTTGTTGGAAGTGACCCACTCCGCCGTTGAGTTTCTCTCACTTCAGCCCGCCTCGCGGGACCCCTTCGCTGTTGGCCCTCGTGAGCACATGAACCAGCTCCTAAGCGTTGTCGCTATGTCCCGCAACGGTGACCACCGCTTCCTTCCCCTTCTTTTGAGCAAGGCACACGAAATCCTGCCTCGACTTGTCAGTCCAATGCTGCAGAACGCCCCTGAGAACCCGAACATGGCCAACGTCGACATTTTCGATGGCTTTGGCAATGCTGGAATGGCTCAGCCTCCACAGCTCCAGCTCGCCATGGACAGCGATTATGATCGCAAGTTCCCCGTTGAGGAATATGACAAGAAGTACGCGATGGACCTGAGCACCGGCACACCGGAGTCAGTGGGTAACACCAGCTCCAACGGTGTCCCATCCACTGCTCCTCAGAACTCTGATCTAGGCAGCTCTTTCGTCAGCTCGCCTGGAATCATGTCGCCAACCGTTGAGTACCCCCCTGGCATGAATAATTTCGCCTGTACTCCAATGTCGGAGATGGTGATGAGTCCCATGGGCCACCCAGCACAACCAAACCCAATGAACCACGCGCAACATCAAACACAGCACCAGCACCAGCATATACCCATGAATCAAGGACATGAGGGGATGCGACAACATCACATGGGTGGCATGCCACAAAACATGCACAGCCAGTCCATGAATACGCAAGCCGTCCCACCGTCTATGCCTATGAACAACATGGTGGGAATGAGGCAACCAACGCAAAGACAAGCCAGTTTCAGCATGCATGACCCTCGGCAACAATACCCGCCGCAAGGTTCCATGCCTGGCATGGGCTCTATGAATAATGAGATGGACTTTGGTAGGCTATCCTAATCACTGCGCCTACCCTCTTCTTAAAACACTTTTAACCCAAGACCGGACTTCGATATAATTGCCCGGTTGTATTTGTTTTGTACATTATCGACACAGCACTTTGATCAGTTTCTTTCGCTTACACTACGTTTCTATTTGTCCATATTTTTTCTTTTATCCCCCCTTTTACAGTACCAACAACAATACGTTTATGATTATGATGGGCGTCGAGGCGGAAAATCAGGGTTTCTGCCTGCCGTTCACAAAAGGCAACACGCCGAGACACTAATTTATGGAGCGCCTACTAAGTGAAGGAGCATCATATAGCCGACAATACTGATTTCATTTTTGTTATATATTGGGAGTATGTATGGGGTTGATTTGTCTGGGTTTCATGTGGCATAAGGATAGGAGTTCGCTATCTTGACCTTTTTATTTTCGGGGAGGCCGTTTCATGCGAAGCTTTGGCAGTGGTTGCGTTGACGATGGGTCTCTCTCTATTTGAGACGGGCCAACTATTGAGAATAAGAGTTTAGAACATAGCAAGTATATAACAGAAGCAGAATCTTGCATTTATTCACATGACCTTGCCATTACCTGCCGTGAAACAATGTCAGATATTCACTGCCTTGACAATATGGTGAGGTGTGAGCGGCCGATTCCAAGCCTGCATAGAAACAATCGATGCTCCAGTCTGAATGGAATTGACCAATGGAGCATTCATTCACATGGAAAGAGTGCGAGGTATGATTAGCTGATGAGACGAAGCTCCATGAGCTTAATTCTACACACAGGGATCTGGAAGCGATGCATCGGATTCACCCCAACTGCGAGCTTATACATTGGGTCTTGCATGGGAGGCCGATGATACGCTCCCCGTTGCAACCCTCATCACACCTTGACATCATTGTACAAAAAGAGAAAAGAAACGACATGAAGAAAGCATAAACCAAAAACATCACATCACAAGTCCAAACCAACCGAAGCTTAAAGCCAACCTTGAACCGTTTCCCATTGAGGTCTGTCCTTCCTTCGGCGATTACAAGTTGAGCGCTAACACGGTTTAAAACAAACAAAAACAAATCAAGAACACCACAGTCGACTGCGAACAAGTCAACGAAAAGCAAACCGACTACACAGAAACTTCCCATCCTTAAGTGAACAAGGCCCCCCAAACCAGTCTCCGCCGTGAGTTTACCTCCCAGCGTCACCAAAAGCCAAGCCAGAGAACCTCCTCCTCACTCGGCCCCTTTGGTTTCTTCCGTTTCCTCGAGCTCGCATTACGTTTCTCTGATCCCCATCCCATCCTCGCCAAATGGCAGAAATCAGCCCCGCCGCCGAGAGTGCCGTCATCACCCTTGCCGCAGTGGTCTTCGTGTCGTTCATCATCTACGTGACCTGCAAATGTGGCGTGTGTGATGACGACGACGAGTCATCAGAGGGGATTGAGATGGAGTCGAGATGAGGGGAGGGTTGTCTGTCGTGTTGTCGTGTGGGTGGCTCCGAGTAAGTGGTCGATTTGGCAGCAAGCGTTTTGAAAGCGGTTGATTTTGGTTTGTATTCTTCTCATTTTTATCTGTTACCGATGGATGAGTTCTGGAGACGGGGCGTTTGAGTCGTTGGCTATTATCACGAATACGAATAACAGAGGAGATGTCATAAGGGCCTGCCGCCATGAAACAATAAGACATAACACTATCATTCGAGCTATGGAATAATTAAACGCCTTCATCCTGCTGTTCCGGGTATATATATGAAAGCAAAATCATTGGTAACCGAGTAAAAGATAGGGGCATCACGTCGTTAAGCTGCTTGAACTACGCCGTCTTAGCCGTCGCTCACCGTCACAGCCTTCACTGCCAGCTTCTCTATCCTCCCTGCGTACAGGTTCATCAGATGGGCCGCAGGGTCTCCCCAGATAATACCCTCCAACTGCTCGACGGGGCATGTGTTTGCGACCACACCTTCTGACAACCGCTCCTCAACTGTCATGCGGTCTCGGTGCTGGCGGTAGCGAGGGTCGGAGGGGCCGCTTCGAAGAACGACGAGTCTCCCAGCGTTCTTAAGGGCACTAACCGGAACAGGCCAGACGGGCTTTTTCTGGGGTGCGGTGGTGGGTTTGGATTTGAGATCCTGGCGAGACTTGAATTTGTGTAAACGCGGGCTTGGGTGAGTATGAGCGCCCCTCCCTCCCTCAGAAGACCGTCCTACATCTGAGGGGTTGTCCGCAGGTAGTGATAACGGTGGCGGAGAAGCGAGCAGCTCAAGCAAATTTCTGACATACGCCTTGTCTGCCCTGACGACTGGATCGCCTTCGTTGATAAAGCTGAGAAAAACACTGTTCTTTAGGTCTGGCCTGTCGGGTCTCATGAGTGGTGAGATACTGATGGGCGGGGTGCCGAAAGTGACGCAATGTACGCGCTTGAAGGACGCTGTTAGCTGGTTGAGATCAGTCCTCGCACCCTTAGATCGTGAGAGCATGTGGCAGTATAGGAGCGACGCAACAGCGCCTCCCGCAGAGTGGCCAGTAATGAGGAGGCTATACTTGGACCGGCTGGGGTCCTCCTCGAGCAACTGCTTCAGCCGGGAAGCCACCGGCTTGACCATTCTACGTGCGACCGTCAGAAAGCCTGAATGGCAGAGGTTGGACTTGTCATCGAGAAACCCAGATGGAGAGGTTGGTTCAGCGTGGAGATTGACTGTCCAGTCCATGAAGGATGCGGTACCGCGGACTGCGAAGACAATGGTGCGCATATGATCCATTGGAACAGACTTAATCACCATGGCTTTCGTGCCAGCCCGCCAATCTGCAGAGACATGGGCCTCGCTCTCACGCTTTTGTGGGCGCTCGTAGACGGCCTGAGAATACTGGGCAGCGAGACACAAAAGGGGCCATGTGGGAAAGTATCTATTTCCATCTTGTTAGGTTCCCATCACATTGTGATTTTGGGCATATGTAGACTGGATACTTACACAGCGAAAGGGGGCAAGCCCGCTGGAAGCTTGGAATTTGCATAGAGCTCAACCTTTGAGAAGTATTCTCCTCGGACGACAGCCGTAGCTACCCCACCAGCCAGCTGAGCGTTTTTCTTGGGCTTTTCCTTGTATCCGTCCTCGCGTGAAGAATTCTGGCGAGAAGATCGCTCGCGCTTACGGTCTTTTCCCCGGCCGCTGCCCGGCTCCCTGTCATGGTGGTGGTGTTTCGGCTTGGTGAGCTGCTGATCAGCCGACGATACCCGCACTAGAGCCTGGCAATCATTCACCGCGGCGATGGGCGACCGGCAAGTGAATAAATCAGGTTCGTTCCCAGTCATGCCCTCTTTGTCAATTTGGGTCAAGATGTGGTTCAACCGTATTGACACTTCGTCGAAAATGGACACGGTCGTTCCCACAAGTGCCGTGCTATATCCATACCAGGCGGCAAGCCCATCATTGCAGTTTGGGACAGCACTGGCGTCCCTGGCCAGGTTCACCATGGACACGGCAAAACCCCCACCTCCCCCAGAATACAGTTGAACCCTATCGCGTTGATGCTGCTGGGGTTCGCGGCGGTGGTGGTCTGGCGCAGAGGTCGGCGTCAAATGAAGCTGAGGGGAGGAAGCATTTTTGTGGTGGCCGGAGTAGGGAGTGCGTTTCCGGCTTTGGTCGCCGTGATGCCTATCACGCCGAGCCGTTGCCGTCGATTGTCGCGGAGTAAGAACTTTGGAGCTGGCCTTGGGATCGACGTCATTAATGTGAGAGATGGCACCTTTGGTTGGCTTCGTTTGCTTCGGCTGGTCCCTGGCTGGTGGTCGGGTTCTTAAGAAGGAGAACAAGCCCATCGCAACGGACTATCTGAGCCATGCCGCGACCCTAAAACCGATTTGGGGGTGTTTCATCTAGAGACAGGAGAAGAGATTACAAAATTAAGCGTGATCGGGAGGGATATTTCGAGGGCAGTTGCGTAGGGTAGTGGGGGGAGAGGCAGCTATTTAGGTGGTTCCTCGGTGGTGGAGCTTCGGATCGTGCTTCGGAGGAGCTTTGACGAAAATAGATGGATCTTTTAGGACTTGAGATAGACTATTAAATGGGAAGAGGGGATGGAAGAAGAGAAAGTCCAATAACAGGCAACAGGCGAAGGGGTCGTGGGCCAAGCGAGCCGCAAGCTGCATGGCCTCGGGAAAGAAGAGAGCAAATAGAGTTGCCCCGTTCCTGTGTGGCGGCGGATGCTCACCCCACCACCACCAGATAGCGCCCACCAGTCCGCCCGCCAACGCCCACCAGCGCCCGAGGGACACGGCGTTCAGGGACCTGATTCGCTGGAGCCAGCCCAATCAGAGCGGTAGAGCATGCGCCAGTCCCTGTGGGGGAACCTTCAGGTGCTGGGTGCTACCTAGTGTGAAGTACAGCGGTGCACATGGAAGGCAGTTGAGTCTTGCTGCCTCGCAGCACTGCCCCGTTTGCCATCAGCTGCCCTATCAACCTGTCGGCCTCTGTGCTACAGCAGATCATTATGCCATCACGTCATGCCCGAGACGCTTGCTGGTTTCAAATGCCTGGTGATTAAATCATCAGAATTCTTCAATTAATAGGATTGCACGTGTCCAAGATATCCAGGTCCAACGATGCTAACCTCCCGGTTGGTCACTTCACGGGATATTTCCATGCCATCCAGGCGATCCAAGTCTGGACAGCCGCCAGTATGACGGTCAGCAGTCCCACGAAAATGGAAATAAACAATGCCATCAATGCTATAAACAACGCGTTTCTCTCACTCGTCTGCGACTGTAGCCATCGCTCCAGCTTGTTACGCGGCGGCGGATTAGCCAGAGCCGCTTCGAGTTTTCTCATCCGTTCCCCCCAATACATGTACGTGAAGCCCTCGCCCTCTAAGCGCCTGTACCCCTCGTAATTTGCACATTCGGGATCGAAATCTCGTTCCTTTTCGTTAATGAGTTCATTCAGAATTGCGTCGGATTTATTATCGACTCGGTGGAAGAGTAGCCATTGTAGCGAGTGTATTGTCTCATACAATAATCGTACTGGAGGAGAACCTCTGATAGCCGAATTAGTGAAGGGTATGGAATGGATGAACTCGAACTGAGTTGATTAAACAGCATACCTCTCGAGACATTCGCTCACGCTCAAGTCCAGCGGCCGTTCTGTTTCATCGTACTTCTTCAGCTGGGCTTTCAAGAACCCAACCTGGTGAAAGAGATAGACACAAGGAGGGTCCTTGGAATCGTACAGTAAGTGCTTATCGAGGTCGTCTGTTGGCAGAAACTTGACGCCGAGTATCTTCTTCAACTTCCAAGCCTTTGCACTCCCTTGTACCCTCTTCGAGGGCTTGGGATCAGCGGGAAAGGAACGATTGACAAAGTCTAAATATGTTTCTTCTGGCTGCCACGATTTCGGACTGTAGTCGGCTATGGAGAATCCCAACGTGTGTGAACTAAAGGGATCGCAGTCCACCATGATCACCATGTTGACAGCCGAATTGAGATCATCCAAAGCATTTGACTTGAGTGGAGCGGTGCCATTGTTGCTGTGTAATCTTTGGACAGCTTCGTTCTTCGTTATGTGCGGGAAGCTCTTCAGGAGACTCACTGCATCGCCAATGCCTCTGTATGTCGACCGTCCTTGGCCATTGACTACTAAAAAGTTTTTCTGGTGGAGCATATAATCGAAGACCGCGAAGAAAGCCGGGAATGCACCATCCTTGTTGAATATGAGTTTTGCTATCTCGGATTTCTCGGTGCTTTCCTGGTAAGTTGCCATCTTACGGAGGGTGGCCAGGGTGATAACTATACTAATGTTGAGGTTGAGATGGCGAGGCAGGCGTCTGAGTGTTTCTTTTCTGTGACTTTGAGGTGGGAGTATTTTTTAACGGATGACGACACCCATCGCAGATTCCGATACTCACATGTATGCCTTTGAGTATGCCTGACTGGTGGCTGCATGCATGCGACATTGGGTAGTAATACTTGCACTTTCATACACACCAGCGGCTGGGCCAATCATCCTTATGTACTGCCGACAAGAAATTCTGCTGTCATAACCCCGCTTGAGGCCTGTATGAGACCGATCTGCAAATTTCGTTTTCTCCTGTTTCCCGTCCCCAAAATCGTGCCATCTTTCATGCCCTCTTCCCTCTCTGCAACATCCGATCAGCCCAATATGAGCTATCTGTCAGCGTCACAGTCGCAAATCGAGATAGAAGACCAACCTATTGTGCGACCCTTCAGAGCGTAATACCCCCAGGCCCAATTGCTGGCGAGCGGCACCCAATGTTAGGTCACTAACTCGATCGTAGGAGCGCTCTACTTTCTACGCATCTTCCTCCAACTCAACATCATCCACCTTCGTTTCCTGGCATCGGCCAAACCCTTGATGCTGAAGGCAGAGTTTTACCAAATGAAGGGCGAATGCCAGATGATGGTCACGCTCATGTCCAGGCAACGGTCAAAATGGATGGCAGTGACTCGCATATACAACCACCCCCAGCAACTTCTTCGACCACACCAGTGATAGGCTCAAAAGAACGCATGGAAACCAGCGTGCCCCTTCATCATAAGACCAAATTGAAAACCTGGCCTCTTTTACCAGTTGAATGTGAGAAATGGTCCGAGGAGGAATACGCCTTGAGCTTCAAGAAGGTGGTGGAATACCTAAGAGAAAGGGTCGATCACCATGACAGGCTGCGTAATAGTGCACGAAACATCCTCTACAGGCTCATGAAGGTGGGATCATCGTTGGAGAGCGCAAAACCATCCGTATTGGTTATGTGCAATGCTATAGACTGGGGCTCTCTGAACTCATTGCTCAAGAGCATGCCAAGTCAAGAGTATAATTGCATGATACCATCGACATGGGATCGTGCACAAAAACTTCTGTTTCGAGATAGAGGCTTGTCTAGAATGTCAACCTTGAAACCGATCCTGTGGCTTTATCTCTGTCCCACCAGCCTCGAGACATTGAAGAGGTTATATGGTGTACCTGTTAGCATTGAATGCTCCTCGCTCGTAACCATGTGTGGATCTTTGGTTGAATTCGAGGGCCGTCAATCGACGATCTCATTGTCGTTGGATATCGATGGGGAACACCGCCTTCTCACTGTCGAGCACATATTTCAGGGCAATCAAGTAGAGAATGACAGGCCCCAAATGAATTTGGACCCAGAATCTCTAGCGTCAATTGAGGGAAACATTGAACAATGGGACTGTCTCAACGATAGCGAGGATGATATCTCGATGGACCCAGACACGGGCCCGAACCATGATGACGGCCAAATGGATGGAATATTACCAGCGACCTTCATCAACTACAACCTAATCCGAGTTAGCCATAAATTGACGAGGGCTAGACTTATGGCCCATACCCGGCTCTCCCATTATCACAAACGAGGTGAGCGGGTCGAACCTCCAAACAGTCTACCTCATCAGAGCTCATACCTTGACTGGGCATGTCTGCGCCTTGTGGATTATCAAATGGTACCAAGGCAACGATGCAATTTTCTGTTTCGACCCGGGAAACCCCCAGGTCTACTGGAAGACTTCGCCACCAAACCACGTACTCATGCGGTTCCAGTTTTCATGATATCTGGAATACTCGGAGTGAGATCCGGTCGATTGATTGATTCCCCCAGCTATCTTGGCTCCTCTGCCTCCAAGGAGCAAGAACTTTGCGAAACCTGGACAATCATTCTTGACCAACAAGGTACGTGACCTACGAAATTACCACTTAAAAATCGGTTACTGATGTGTGACAATATACAGGTTTTTACCCTGGTGAAAGTGGTTCCATCATAGTAGATCAAGAGACGCTCAAGATATATGGTCACCTAGTTGGTTCAGACATGTTCGGGTATGGACATGTAGTCCCATTCTCGCACACCATGGGGCAGATAAAAACGGCGTTCAATGCTGACAACGCCGGACTCCCGAGTCTTAAAAGCAACGGTCCAAACCAGGAATATGACATGAACGATAGGGATTACAAAATGCTGGCGTATCTCCTGCGTAATGAGTCGCCAAGTATGTCCCAGGTCCAGCAGCTCATCCAACGGGGCGCCGATGTGAATAGGCCTGATACTGATGGCGAGACTTTACTCTGTATGGCTGTAAGAAAAGGATATCTGGCTGTTGTTGAGCTCCTTCTTAGAAACGGTGCAGATTTATCTGTACCTGGTAGATCTGGTGAGACGCCAGTCTGGGCAGCTGCGAACAAAGGACATCTAGCTGTTGTTGAGCTCCTTCTTAAAAACGGTGCAGATTTATCCGTGCCTAATGACGCTGGTGAGACACCGGTCTGGGGAGCTGCAATCGAAGGACATCTAACTGTTGTTGAGCTCCTTCTTAAAAACGGTGCAGATTTATCCGTGCCTAATGGAAATGGTGAGACACCGGTCTGGGCAGCTGCGAACGAAGGACATCTAGCTGTTGTTGAGCTCCTTCTTGGAAATGGTGCAGATTTATCCGTGCCTAATAAATCTGGTAAGACGCCGCTTTGGAGAGCTGTGAAAAATAATTATCTGCCAATCGTCAAGCTACTATTCTGCCTGGGCGTTGAGATGAACTGCAAAAATGACCGCAACCGAACGCCACTGTGGAAGGCTATACAATATGACCATCGCGATATTGTTGAGGCGCTAATTGAAGCGGGTGCTGAGGTGAACATCAGGGACAAATACGGAAGCACGCCGCTCTTATATGCTGTACAAAATGGCCATTCAGATGTTACCCAGCAGCTAATTAAAGCAGGTGCTGAAGTTAACGCCGGGGGTTCAGACGGATGCACGCCGCTCTTATATGCTGCACTAAAGGGGCGTTCAGATATCATCCAGCAGCTCATTGAAGCGGGTGCTGAAGTTAACGCCGGGGATCAAGACGGATGCACGCCGCTCTTGTGTGCTGTACAGTCAAGGCGTTCAGATATCATCCAGCAGCTCATTGAAGCGGGTGCTGAAGTTAACACCGGGGATCAAGACGGATGCACGCCGCTCTTGAAAGCTACAAGACACGGGTATTCAGATACCGTCCAGCAGCTTATTGAATCAGGTGCCGAAGTTGACACTAAGGATAAAGACGGGCACACCCCTGTCTTGATAGCTACAAGATACGGGTATTCTGATATCACCCAACAGCTAATTAAAGCAAGTGCCTTGTTGGATAGCAAGGATGATCAAGGGCAAACGGCGCTCTTTATCGCCGTACAGAGGAGGAATCACGGTATTATTCAAATGCTAATCGAAGGAGGTGCTGCTACAGATGTCGAAGATAACCGGGGACGAACGCTACTCACGTTAGCTAACAAACTAAAGGTCGATTTGCCCATGCACTTAGCTAAAGCCAAAGTCTCTGTGGATGAGAGAGAAGGCTAGGTGTTTCGACATTTGAGACATGAGAGGTTCCGAACTGGGGTGGGGCAACTTCTGGCTCCCTTGATGAGAACTATACTCCGACCTGTATGCCATGGTTGCCTTTATGATCTAAGCGCATTCTTTCCAAACAGGAAGAGAACAGTCCGGTTCCAAGTATGCTTCGTAGAAGTGGGAGGTGCCAAGTAGGGCGCAGAGCTTCTTGTGAACACCTGTTGCCCCGAATTAGCTCCGAGTTGGCCTCGTTCTCAAGATAGTCGTAAGGACGAGGGGTTCATTGTCATTAAGTAGTTTCTATTACCTGCGAGGTAGAACAATGAAGGGAATCAACTCATCTCTCCGACACTTTACCACTAACCCATGCTTCTTCTTCAGCGAGATATCTTAAGTCGTGCGAGATTCCACTACACGTGCATAAGAGAAAGGTCTAGACCCCCGCCCCCATTTGTTCCAATATTGAGGCTCCTTGTTACCTTTTTGAATGTGCTAGAAGGCATGAAAGTTACTCATACCTGTGTAATAGCGATGGCCTTGTCAAAGTCAGCTTAGTTATCCCAACGGCCCTTAAACTTCAAAGTTGGGAATTGCGGTGCTTGGCTGGCTGAATATGCTTAATTGAGTAGCCTTAAGATAGAAGCAAATGGATTGAGGAGACGAGGTTTTGACTGGTTTTGAAAATGATGGCCAAATTGATAGTTGGCTATGGTATTACTTTGGCAACACATCTCCGACCACTCTTGTAAGAAGAGTGAGTATGGGATAAAGGGGTTTCACAACTTCACCAATTAGATAGCTGCAATCGGTGTTATATAACGTCAATTCTACCAATACCTATATCATTCTTTACATAGCCACGAACCGTTGGCCCGCTGCAGGTCATTCAAAAGTCAACGTGTATATCGAGATACTCAATCAAATGCTCACACTCCGTCGAAAAGAACCAAAGTTAGATACCAAGAAGAGGCTCAGACAGCATAAACCAAGGCCATTAAACGCCCCTCTCCTCGACTCTGACCACTACATCACAGACTTCTAACCCACAACAGCGCAGTCAAAGCCCATCACCTCCACCACCTCCTTATGCCCCTCAGGCTCCTCCGCCTCCTTCGCCTCCTTCGGCTCGCCAGGCTTTGGTGGGTTCATGAACGACTCAGTGTCCCCCTCAACCGGGTTCTCCACCAGCTCGGGCCAGTAGTCGAAGCCATCCTTGATCGTGAACCCGTGCTTGTCCCACCGGAGCGCCCTCTCAATCTTGGACCGCATCCCCACCACCTTGTCCAGGTTCACCCGCCTGTACCCCAAAAACACGACCAGCTCGCCCTCGTACGTCACCGACTTGCCCTGCTCCCTCGACACGCCGTACCTCCCGCCCATGTGGACATTGATCGGTAATCCCGTCGCCTCCTGTATGGGCGCCTTGATGCCCCCACCACCAGCAAACGAAGACCCGTTCTCGTCCGTGACAGCCAGGTTCACCAGCGTCACGACGTCCGTAACGAAATACCCCTGCTGGTTGTCCGCGCCCCTTAGCATGTCGAACAGCTCCTGGAAGTACTCCTTGTTCTGCAGTAGGTCCTTGAACTTGTCCCCGGGAGAGTCCATGTGCCAGATGCGCGCCACCGTCGCCTCATTCTCCCGGCTGACGGACTTGGCCCTCTCCACGAAGAAGTCGAGGATGTCGTTGAACGACGACGACACCGAGGCGTCGCGCATCCGCCGCTGCCAGAACTTTACGTTCTGCACCTGCATGGGCTTCGGGTCCAGGTTGGGGATCATGTCCCGCGCCAGCTTCGAGCTCCGGTAGGGGATCCGCTTCTCCGTCGGCCTCTTGGGGTGCTTGATGACGCTGCCGATCAGCTTGTCGCGGTACTCTGTAGCGTCGAGGCGGGGCTCGATGAGCCAGAGCGGCTTCGTGTTGCGCGAATGGGCCATGGCTGGCTTGTCGTGTGACTGACGACTCTCCTCTGGCCTCTGACGCAGTTTGTTGCTGGCTCCTGTCGTCTGTGCTTTGACTATTGGATTAGATCTGGGCTCAATACGTTCCTGGGTGAATTCTTGTCGATCGTATCCCGCGTTTCGAGATGCCCAGGGTATGTTGTGTCTATAAATCTAATGTAGGAGGAGGTTTACGAAAGTGCAGGCTTCAACAGGTTACGGGATATATAAGCGCCGTATTCACGGCCCAACTAAAACGACCTCGCCAGGCTGAAAACTAGCAAGAATTCGCCTTGATCGTCCTAGAGAACATAACAGCTGCGTGTGGCTCATGTGCATGACCAGGTGCAGGGGTATCGGCAGTATCAAGCACCAATGGGAAGTGCCGAAATGGCAGCCTGAGCCACAGCAAGAGGCTAGATTCCCGCACAGCCACTTCGCCTTGAGTCATCCACCAGCACTACCAGGGACGGGACAGGGGTCGACTGAGCGTGGTCCTGGCATGTGAAGAGTTGTTGTGTATTTACTCTCTTGGAAGTAGATCATCAATTCGAATCGTCGTCTATGTATATACAGTTAACCCAACAAAATCACTATTGCCTCCAGCCAACCGACTCCAACCCCGGCGCCTGATCCATCTAAGTACAACACCCATGCTCTTCCCATCATATACAGAAGAGAATTATGAAAGCACAAGGGAGAATATATAGCCCGCGCTTTCGGGGGCCTCTCTCTGAAGCCCACCACTCGTGTATGTACATTTCATGTGAAAAGAGGTAAATCATGATCAAACAACCTAAACACAGGGGGATATCAATAACAGGGGTGCCAATTCTTGCCACCCAAAAACAAACTAATGCGCTCTCAGACAAAGGAAATATAAGTGCGAAACGCAGAAAAAAAGATGAGTAAGATGAAAATCGGAGGGTACAAGAAGTCGGTCACGAGGAATGAGGAAATACCAGTCGGTGGCTAAGCTCATGCTCGAAGGACTTCCTCGTGGACGAGGCGAAGCACGCCGCCGGCCTCTGACACGGTGGCGCATTGGAAGCACCACTTCTTGATGTTTCCACCCGTTGGGCCTGTTGCGGGTGCAATACCCACCACGCCATCGCCGTTCTTGACTTCTTCCCAAATACCACACACGATGCCTCTACTGCCCATTGGTGTGAAGCATGCACTACCTAGAACAGCATCGAGTAAGATCTTAGGTTTCTCGCTGTCCTTCTTTGGAATCGTGGTAACTGTCACCCGCTTCTCCATTCCGTGGTTTGCCCGCAGGGCCTGGTGCCAGCCAGGAGGTGGTCGTCGGATTTGTAGAATGCAGTTGCCATAATCTTCCCACTTGGTGGCAGACACGAGAAGATGAAGTCTGATCCGAATATTCTCACTGTTCAAGTTGGCGGCATTGCGGGCACTATTCTCCACGCTGATAGAGGGCGAGCGAGGGGGGGTTCCGCTGGCAGATGATTCCCCAGAGGCATAGAAACTGTTTCGCGCGCTACCAGGACGGCTTTGTTTGTCCACTGAAGAGCGGGCAAGGTTGAATGCCATGTTGCCAGTTGTGAGTCTCTTCAGGAAGCTTGTTGCGGAGAGACTAGACGATGCATTGGTACTGGCACCATCCAGTGACTGAGCAGGTGCTCGCACAGAGCTACGGTAGCTGTTCTTCCTTCCGAACCACGACTTTTTACGGCTGCTTGAGTTGCCGTCAATATCGGTAGGCCCCTGGCGCTCACCAAAGCTTTTGAATCTTGCCTCGTTCTCCAGTTGGATGAATTTCTGGTTATTGAGGCGAGCGTGATGGACCGCTCTCCACAGACCGAGGCTGTCCGCTGCATTAGAGCATCGGAAGCGGAACACGCCTCCTCCTTGTGATTTGTAGATCTGGCAGTGAGACTGGAGGGATGATCGAATTTCAACGTCGACTGCAGTGCTGTGGCGAATGAGGACCACGGGAGTAAGGTCCATTGCCAGAAGTGGTGGGTCGTTGGCGGCTCTAGGAATGTTCGAGACGAAAGCCTCGATGAGACCAGGCCCGACCACAATAGAGCATTCAGATTCCGAAATGTTCTTCCACGTGCCTCGATCGGACCATCGGGAGATGTGTGCTGTGAATTGCTGCGAGGGCTTCTCTTCGACCTTCTCCTCTTGAGTCTGGTCGTGAAGACCAGCCTGTGAAGCAGAATTGGATGGTGTAAGGCTGCATTCTGACTCGTTTACAATCGACTCCGCTACATAGGATGCATTGGGAGCGTCGAGTTCCGGCGATTCCTCTCGATAACTCTGCTGATCTTGATGTCTCGGTCCCTGCTTGATACTGACTCCAATCTCGGTTTCGGGAATATCGATGCTTTCAATCTCATCATCAGAAGATTCGTAGTCGGATTCTTCTGTGTAGGACTCATCTGAGCCTGATGAACCCTCGGATCCCTCTGATCCCTCGGACGGCAGATACTCATGCTTGAGTGGCGATGAGTTACGGCGCTTCAGTTTGGCATCAGCCTCAAGATCGACTGGAGGTGTGATTGGTGATCCCGATGAGGTGGGAGCATTCTGCTCGGGCGAAGTACTTGTACTGAAAGTGCGATGGATTGGCGGAGGGGGCGCACCATCCTCTCTGAAACTTGCCTTGTTTCGTAGTTGAAGGGGATCAGGCCTCATGTTCTCACTGAGTGGGTGGCTCCTATCAGGGTCTTCTTCCTGAGCAAAGGAATCTTCTTGAGCAAGGTAATCTTCCTGAGTGGGCGTTTTCTCTCGTGACGGGTAAAAATCATTTTCTGGAGACGGGGATTCGCGTATCGGGGTCAGAATCTCGTCATCATAAGTCCAGGAAGGCTCACGTCTGGGGGTAGTCGTCCGTTCCTCACGAGGGGGGCTGAGTTTTGGTGAGACATTGCGCTTTCTTCGAATACTCCTTGCCCCGACAGGAATGTCCACTCTTTGTCGTGGCTCGTCGTCGTCGTCAATGATGCTTGGCTCGGGTTGTCTAGGGGGAACGGGGCTAACAGGTAGAATGTCCAGCCAATCCAATATCTGATCCTCGTTGTCAGAGGTAAGTGTAATAAGTTCAAACCACTCCCTCTCATGATGAATTCCTCGGACCATGATCACCATGTCAAAGTTGCCGTCGCCTGTCCGAGCAGATATGAGCGACATCGGAAAAGGTGGGAAAAGCAAATAGGTGCGGCCCCCATCGCCGGTTTCTCGGATGAGCAGATCACCTTGATCGCCAGTCTGTTTCTGGTTGTCCCTGTGAACGAGTTCGACCTGGCATTCTAGCCGTTGCCCATTGGAATGAGCAAGATCTAACGAAAATATGTCCTTTGCACTGACTTGACGATTGGCATCAATAATCGTGTCATCGATTGCCCATAGAGTTCTTAAATCACGGCATCTCGTTGTATCGGTGTTGATAGCATCTTCATCAGTCATCCGGGCGGTTTCTTCTCTGTGCCGACGACGGGACTTTTCTTGCAACCGTTCAAAGTTATTCAACAGTTCATGAGTGTCTTCCGACGGCATCATCGAATCTAAGCAGCTCACTAGCTTCACCAAAGTCTTGATGCGGATCAGCGGGCGCTTCAAGAGGTGACCAACGTCTACTCTCTCTCCCTCGGCATTAATAACGTCACCATTTTCATCTCTCGGCATGGCGTTGAGTAGAGAATCTTCATCTTCCGGCACACCCTCAGCCGGGGCAAGGTTGACGACCAAGTCATGGAACCCTAGTCGCCATGCATTCAAGTAGCTGTTATAGATGGGCACAACCCCATGTGCCCAGTGAGCCACACGCCTGAGGTCTGTGTGAGGTGCTTTTCGATGGGCGCTTCTGATCTTTTCGAGAGCAACGCCCATTCCCACAACAGATTTGGACAAGCTATTACTTCGATAATTTGAAGCAGAATTCTTGTCAAAAAAGGCTTTTGGGTTGGAGGAGTCTTGGACGACATGCGTCAGGAGCACCGGGATCACACCATCGACAAGTGTCTTCAGTTCTCTCATGTAGAGGACCTCATCATCGGAGAATTCCCGTAGTAAGTCGGCAGTAGACACATCTGGGGCCGAACTCCTTGTCTTTCGCAAACTAGGCCGTGACCGGGAGAATGTGAGGGTTTTGGGAATATTTTTGTCGTTGGGCAACGAGAGCACTGATACCAAATCAGAGTGCCTCGTAAGTCGCCTCTTGAGGCTGGAGGTTTGGCTTCTCGACTTTGAGAGCCCGCTCTCCTTGGTCAAGGCGGTAGATTGGGTCACTGTTGTCCGAGAGATGCCTGATGATAAATCAGACTCGAGTGTACTGCAATTTTCCTCGGACAGGATGGTCGAGAGTTCATGGTTGCCGTTTGTGGGTGGTCGTAATCGTGGTCCAGCCATCTTGGGAGCAGTCACCTCAGTTAAATAGGAGGAGCTAATTTCAGAGCCCGATACCGTCTCTTCGTATCTCGTGTCGTATCCGGAACTGAGTCTTGAATCGTCGTAACCTGAGACAGTGCGATATTCGGTCTCATCGTCATAGTCGTCATCATAATAGTCAATTCTCCGTTCTTCTTTGCTTTGATAGGTGGCCGGAGGTCTAGGCAACTCTTTGGATTCCCCTTGGAAGGCTTCTTTAAGTAGGCCAAAGAAAGGCCGGCGAGGGCTTGACTTGGAAGGCTGAGCAGAGGTTCTAACAGCCCGTCTTCTCTTGAGCCCGCCGGAGTCATGTTCCTCAGATTTAGTGGGGGTTTTATCTGACGGAGGGGATGAGCTCTTTGATTTTGTGGGGGTTGAACTCCGATCTGTAAGGTCAGATTTGGACTTAGAATGGGAACTCGATGCCGATCTTGTCTCGTGTGATGCTTTTCTCGGCGTTTTATGGGTTTCCTTGGTCGAAACTGATTCACGAGCAACCTGTTTAGGTGGTTCAGGAGTAGGTTCTTTCTCGGTTTTCGCGGGCTTCTCGACAGCAGGCTTTGCAGACTTTTCAGTCGCAGGTTTTGTCGGAGTTTCAGCAG